TTATATAGCAATAACTTTCTACGGTTGACAAATAAAGTTTTCTAACTCAAGTCAGGGATGTGCACTCTTTTCCATAGTGATTATAGCGCCATACTGTGGACACAAAAGTCACAGCGTTGGATACAGTCGGAGCCAAACATCAACTTTCTCGTACTATCCATACATTAGTGGTAACGGACAGCGAAAGCGAAACTCTTTCACTCCTCAACAGAGGGCAGCACTGAACTATTTATCTTCATTGCATAGTTCACCTTAATTCGTCAAAAAAATTAGTAAATACAATCAAAATAAGAAAAGCCAGAGTTTTAAACAACATTAATACCCGAATTAAACATAACTTTTTAGAGCATAGTGTTAATTTACAGTTAGAAGGCATGTATTTTACGCGAGGAAATTTATCCTAAGGCCTGTATTTTCATGGGTAGAAATTTAATTTCACGGTATGCCTGGAGCATATTTCGCCGGTCACTGAATGTCCAGTTGTGAATGTATTAGAGAGGAAGGGAATGTCATGGGTGCTAAAAGCCTTTGTTTACTATTATCAAAAAGTAAGTTTGGGAATAAGTCTTTTCTCACTCAGATTTTGGTGCGGTTTTCAGTTTATTTATATAAATGCACTCAGGAAATCTCCTAGTCTATCTCCTATCTCCTTATAACTATCTAAATACAGTGTTCTTTGTTTTCTGCAATTAAAAATATTTCCCAAAGCATTTACTTAAGTGAAAAAAAATGTTAAAAAATCCCAGAAGGAATTTTGTCTCATTATAGTATTATTTTTTTCATATATAACATTAAGTGTATGAGGCCGAATATATTTTTATTTCATAGGTGATGACTCTGTTTTTCCTTAATCATTTAAGAAATTACCTAATGTCTGGTATTCCAGTCTTTATTAATTAAAAAAAATATTCATAAAACATGAAATCGAGTGAGTTTAAGCTATGTATTCGCATAAAAGTATGACACAATTTGAAATTTCTAAGTCACGTTAAGGAATATTGGCATCATATTTTGGAGCAGTAACAAAATGACGCTATACTTGGCAAAAGGAAGCAAAAAAAAAAATATCACGTGACTCTCTCCTTAATGTTGGAATGTTCAAATTTTCAGTTTATAACGCAAATAGCTCTAATCTGGATACCCGGACAATGGAGATTTTGTCTTTTTTTCCTGGTATGTACTGGCTTGAGGGTGGCAGTCGGTACCAAATTTATACAAATGAACAAAGGAAATCCCTTGATATATGCCGAATTACAGTATTTGCTTTCTGCAATTAAAAATATTTTACTAAGTATTTACTAAAGCAAACAAAAATGGGAAAAAGTCATGGAGAAAATATTTTTCCATTTTGCTTTGATTTTGTCCATCTAACATCCAGTGTATGAAGCTTTGTATTCGCATAAAAGTATAACACAATTTGAAATTTCTAAATCACATTAAAGAATATTGGCATCATATTTTGGAGCAGTAACAAAATGACGCTATACTTGGCAAAAGGAAACAAAAAAAAATCACGTGACTCTCTCCTTAATGTTGGAATGTTCAAATTTTCAGTTTATAAAGCAAATAGCTCTAATCTGGATACCCGGACAATGGAGACTTTGTCTTTTTTTCCTGGTATGTACTGGCTTGAGGGTGGCTGTCGGTACCAAATTTATACAAATGAACAAAGGAAATCCCTTGATATATGCCGAATTACAGTATTTGCTTGCGCAGGTCGTCGGGCTACCGAAGCGGGGGTGCCATCCCTTCCGCAGAGGATCAAAATTGTGATGGCATGTCTTCGGATCATCCTCCGGGATGTTTCCCAGACCGTCGCCAATAGCCCATTGTGCAGCTCTAGTGCGACGTAAAGTAACAACAACAACAACNTTTTCATGGGTAGAAATTTAATTTCACGGTATGCCTGGAGCATATTTCGCCGGTCACTGAATGTCCAGTTGTGAATGTATTGGAGAGGAAGGGAATGTCATGGGTGCTAAAAGCCTTTGTTTACTATTATCAAAAAGTAAGTTTGGGAATAACTCTTTTCTTCCAGGTATGCTCAGATTTTGGTGTGGCTTTCAGTTTATTTATATAAATGCACTCAGGAAATCTCCTAGTCTATCTCCTATCTCCTTATAACTGTCCAAATACAGTGTTCTTTGTTTTCTGCAATTAAAAATATTTCCCAAAGCATTTACTTAGGTGAAAAAAAGTGTTAAAAAATCCCAGAAGGAATTTGTCTCATTATAGTATTATTTTTTTCATATATAACATAAAGTGTATGAGGCCGAATGTATTTTCATTTCATAGGTGATGACTCTGTTTTTCCTTAATCATTTAAGAAATTACCTAATGTCTTCTATTCCAGTCTTTATTAATTAAAAAAAATATTCATAAAACATGAAATCGAGTGAGTTTAAGCTTTGTATTCGCATAAAAGTATAACACAATTTGAAATTTCTAAATCACATTAAAGAATATTGGCATCATATTTTGGAGCAGTAACAAAATGACGCTATACTTGCAAAAGGAAACAAAAAAAAAAAAATCACGTGACTCTCTCCTTAATGTTGGAATGTTCAAATTTTCAGTTTATAACGCAAATAGCTCTAATCTGGATACCCGGACAATGGAGATTTTGTCTTTTTCTCCTGGTATGTACCGGCTTGAGGGTGGCTGTCGGTACCAAATTTATACAAATGAGCAAAGGAAATCCCTTGATATATGCCGAATTACAGTATTTGCTTTCTGCAATTCAAAATATTTTACTAAGTATTTACTAAAGTAAACAAAAATGGAAGAAAGTCATGGAGAAAATATTTTTCCATTTTGTTTTGATTTTGTCTATCTAACATCCAGTGTATGACAACGAGTGCATTTTTATTTCATGTATGGCAATAGTTTTGTTTCAATCATTAAAATTGCAATTCTAATCCAGTCTTTATTGAGGAAGCATTCAACAAACTAAATACAGTAAAATTTAATTTTGTATTCACATTAGTATACACAAAAGTATTACACAAAAGTATTACAAAATTCGGATTTCCTAGATTAATGAACCTTGGCTCTACATTTAGAATAGTTACACATGAAGCAAAATAATGTTATTACCGTCAAAAGAAAAATATTTTAAGGGATTCTTTTTAAAGTTTCAACGTTCAAATTCTTAATCTATTCTGCAAATGGCTCCAAACTGTGAACCAGGACAAAAAGGTTTTTGTCTTTTCAACCTGGTGTGTACTGGATTGGGTGTGGTTGTCTGTCTATTTATATAAATGCACTGAGGAAGTCCCAGGATAACGATCGGTATACAGTTTTCTTTGCTTTCTGCAATTAAAAATATTTCATCAAGCAATTACTTAAGTGAACAAAAGTGTGAAAAGTCAGAGAAGAAATTTCTTTCTCATTATTGTATTATTTTTTTTATATATAACATTAAGTGTATGAGGCCGAATATATTTTCATTTCATAGGTGATAATTCTGTTTTTCTTAATCATTTAAGTAATTACCTAATGTCTCTATTGATTAAAAACAAATTCGTGAAACATGAAATCTAGTAAGTTTTAGCTTTGTATTCACACATAACAAAATTTGAACTTTCTAAATCTCATTAAAGTATCTTGGCGTCATATTTTGGAACAGTAACGCATAAAGCAACATGGCGCTTTCTTGGCAAAAGGAAAAAATAATTACGTGACTCTCTCCTTAGTGTTGGAATGCTCAAATTTTCAATTTATAAAGGACAATGGGGATTTTGTCTTTTTCTCCTAGTGTGTACTGACTAGGGCATGGCTGTCGGTTACAAATTTATAGAAATAAACAAAGGATATATGCCGATTTACAGTCTTTGTTTTCTGCAATTAAAATATTTTACTAAGTATTTACTTAAGTAAACAAAATCGGAAAAAAGTCACGGAGAAAATATTTTCCCATTTTGTGTTGATTTTTGTTGTTAAACACCCAGTGTTTAACAGCGAATGCATTTTAATTTCATGTATGGCAATAGTTTTGTTTTAATCATTAAAATTGTAAGTAATTCTAATCCAGTCTTTATTGATAAAACATTCAACAAACTAGTAATACAGTAAAATTAAATTTTGTCTTCACATTAGTATACACAAAAGTATTACAAAGTTTGGATTTCCTAAATTACATTAATGAACCTTGGCTTCACATTTTAGGACAGTAGCACATGAAGCAAAATAATGCCATTACAGTCAAAAGAAAAACATTTTAAGTGATTCTTTTTAATGTTCCAATGTTCAAATTTCTAATCTATCCTGCAAATGGCTCCAGGCTGTGATCCAGGGCAAAAAGATTTTTGTCTCTTCAACCTGGTGTGTACTGGTTTGGGCGTGGTTGTCTGTTTATTTATGTAAATGCACTCGGGAAGTCCCATGAAAACTATCGTGATACAGTTTTCTTTATTTTCTGCAATCAAAAATATTCCATCAAGTATTTTTACTTAAGTAAACAAAAATATGAAAAAGTCCTAGATAATTTTTTATTATTCTATTTTGTATCGATTTTCTTTGTCTAACATTCAGTGTATGAAGCCGATTCTATAAATGATAATAGTTTTTCAAGATCATCATCCAGATTATTGATTATTTTATAATTCAGTCTATTCTAATCTTTCTTAAGGAACAACATATTCACATGCTGGCCATTAGCCTAGTGGTCAGAGAATCGGACTCCAGTCCGGATAGGTATGGGCTCAATCCTGGACTACGTTATGACGCACCGAGCACAGGCGATATATGTGCCTTTAAAATCTGTGGAATAGAAAGTTCTGTCGTCGGTCACTGAGCTGTACCATGGGTACAGGGGTCTAGAAAAAAATTTCTTTCCCCTTCAGATCTATGTCTAAGCTGAGGAAGTACCCTCACGTGTAAGTGGTGCTGCCATCTATCAGTGTGATTCTGAGGTAAATCAATCAATTACTTTCACTCTTGTGGTGATCTCATGTCAAACTTCACTTAATTTGTAAGAGTAGGCCAAAGACTTATCTATGTACTATTAGAAAAAGCAACACAGCTTATACAGGAATCATGCATGTAATCGAGTAAATAAATTTTTATTGCAGTAATATACATGTTTAAACATTTTTTCAATTTCGAAAAAAAATATTTATCTTTGGGTCATCTTATAGAATTGGTTGACATAATGAAGCTCGACATTTTACTTGCACTGGGAGCAAAATATTTCTTAATGCTAAGGTGTTGATTTTGCTATTTTTGGATTCTAAACATCGAAGTTTTGAATCAGGAAATTTGAAATTTCACCTTTTACCCATAATCTGCCAGGCCATAGGTGAGATTGTCAACTTAGGCATGAAGATGAGGCCCTGAATTATATCCCTAAGCGAAATTTCTTTGTTTCTGAAACTGAAAATAAAGTTGCGTACAACATTTACCGGAGTAAACATAAAAGCAGCGTCTAGATTTGTTTAAGGGGAAGAATATATAAAACATAACGATAAAATATGGATAGTGAAAAAATTTTGTCCATTTACTATGTGATATTTGATAGAAAATTAAAAATTTGTAAAAATTTTTGAGGGAAGTAGTTTTTGATTAGCTTTCGTCTTCTTTAGTGAAACATTATTTGTTGCATGGTGGTATATAAAATGTGATGGGAAGGTAAAAAGGGATACACTTAGCTTATGTGTAGGAAATGTAAACTATAGTAAGATGCTTACCTGGTACACAAACGTCACAGCAGCCGCAATAGCCACCTTTTTCTTTTATTACTTTTCCTTCTTCACAGACAGGCTTTTGACATTTACTGCGGCTACAAATATCTCCACACAATTGACAATACACAACTGAGATTATTGCTGCGAGGAAAACTAATTCTTTCCACATTTTTATCTATAACAATATCAAGTAAATAGTTAACGAAAAACTACAATAAATAGACATATTTAATAGGTTGATTTCATCATTTACTACCCGATAGTTCTACGAAAATCTGATTATTTCTTAAATCCTTCGTCGCACAGAGTAAGCATGTCTTTTTGTTTTTACAATAAAGGTAAGTTTCGTCCTTGCTCGCACCACTGGTGAATCCCCGTATTTACTTTAATCCTAAACGTAAATATTTTCCACAAAATTACTGAACATTTTGGTTTTAAAATAATTGTAGCTTTATGTGAGAACATTTTGTTAATTTGTTAATCATAGTAAAATCAATTCCTAGATTTCAAAAATTATCGTCTGTACTTGAAAACAATAAAGTGGGGAACATAGTTTGTGAGATTCAATACGAGGAAATAAATGCGAAGTAATTTTATTCGTTGAAGAGAATTATTTAATTCAAATAGGGATCGGTTTTTATTATAGTTTATTAAGTTAATTCTTATTTTTAAAAATATTACTATAAATGCTAAGATTTATATCTGGCAATATGTAATCTCTCTCTCCTGCTACTTTTGATTGGCATCTACTACAGCGTTAGCTTATGAAATAAAGACCTCGTAAGGAATAAATAATTTTTTTTGCAACAATGGATTATTAGTCAAAACTTAAAGAGAAAAATTAAGGAAAAAAACATGTAAAAGCTCTTGAATTTCCAAGAATGAAAGAATAATCCAGTAACTTAAAAAGATCAAATAAGAATTTTGAAAAGAAAAACTCTCGTTAAAATTATGGAACAAAATGGCACATCAGCACATCAAATTTCAATATAGTAGTTGCATTTCCATGGACAGTAGATAAACAAACTTTTTTTTATAACAAGATGAACAAATAATAATTCTAAAACTAGTTGTCATTTCTGAAATTTCTTTATTTCGTCGTACTCTCCATATTTGTTTTACATATCTTCGCAATTAAGTATCTAAGCCTTTTAGAATTTAAAAAGCAAAAAAAAAAAAAAAAAAAAAAAAAAAAAAAAAAAAAAAAAAGAAGCTTGAAATTACTGTAACTTTCAAATAAGTTTTAATATCGATAAAAACTCTGTGTTAAGTTTTTAAAAAAAATTGGTTCCTTCAGCGTGTCGAATTTCGACAACAACGTAGCACTGCTGCTGCTTGTAGATAGGGCCGTATAATATTTTTTTCTATTCTCTAACAAATTATCGACCCTCATTTTTTAAAATTTCATTGCAATCCCCGCTCATTTTTCAACCTTAGTAATTTCGAGGCCAGGGGATGGAACTTTTGCCTTCCAATGAGGTGAACCGGGTTCGAATCCTAGCTGGTTGATTCCACACCCGGCATGCACCGACCACAGTGCTGACGTAAAATATCCTCAGTAGTAAACGGATCATGGATTAGAGTCCCCTTACTGTCAGGCTAGCCGTGGGAGGTTTTCGTGGTTTTTCTCAGCATGTAATGCAAACGCAGGTCAGTTCCATCAAGAGAGGGCAAATTTCTCCCAATACTTGATCCAAGAGTTCCTTTCTCTTCTGGATTGGGTTCAGCATTCCAAAACTTCGGAGTTGAACATTAGTAGTTGCAAACCAAACGAATTGGGTCGGTAGTTCAACAACGATAATAAAATTAAATAAAATAAAATGCCGTTTCCGTAAAACAGCAATGAAGCAAAACTTCCTAATTTTGATTCAAGCACAAATGAAGCATCACTATGATTTTATGAATGCAATAACTAATTTCATGATATTTTAATGCTTTAATAAGAAAATATCATTTTGAAATCATAAAATTCGAAGTTTTATTCAATGTGGGTGATATTGTGAAATTCGCTGATTTTTACAGTTGTAAAGTGGTTTTTAAACAACCTATTTTCATTATTTTTTATATTAATCGGATGATTATAATATTTGTAAGGAGTTCTGATATTATGTTTGACGTATGAAATAATTTTAAGAATACAAAGATGTCGAACGTAATACTAAATAAACGACTTAAACTTTTCTAAGTTTTATTTTGTAATTACTTTAACCTGCCTGTAATTGTTTCTCAGGAGCGATTCAACTAATTTTTTTACTCATACTTGATATTTTAGAGTAGGTTTAGCTATCTCTATAAAGTGTGACTATAAAGAGTGTGTAAAGTGTCTCTATAAGGTGACAAGTTTAGTATTTAACAGATAGCTTAGTTTTAAATATTTTTATAATCGAATTCATAAAGCACGCTCTATGAATGGAAGCAAGATGTAAGAGAAAAAAAAAGCAGAAGCAGCTTATGACAAAATAATAAAGCATAATTCTGTAATTTATGAAAAGCTAGCGTATTTCAGTATTATTTGGCAACATAGTTTGATAATTTTAAACTCCTTTTTTCTGTTCGAAATAAAAACTGATTTTTGCTTCAATTAAATATAAACCTAGAGAATAGGCTTTTAATTCCTCATTTTAAAGAAAATTCTATACGAAGATTTTGGGACATACTGTTATGCATGATAAAATTGTTCCGCATTTTTACGCCGTTCATGTACTGACATATAAATTAATAAAGTATTTTTAAATTCAAAACACTTAGACAATTATTTAAAAAAAAAAAACACTATTGCTCTTAAGACTGTATGGCTATATAAAGACATTAACTTTAAAATATTATATTAGATTTCAAATTATATTTCAATTAGTGGCCTCATTTATAAAGTGCTTCAAATGTTAGATAGATTTAGAATTTAATAAATTTTAGTAAAAGATTTTATCTATAGAAGTTATTACAGTATAATTTTTACCTTTCTGCATTTATGACACATTGTGTGATATATATTCATATGTGCCCGGCCGGCATTGTTTTAGTGGTCAGAAAAACCATGTTCACGTCTCCATGCTGACACACTCTAAATATTCTGATGAATAATATTAAGAGGTTAACCATAGAATGTATAATACATAGAATAGCCATAGAATATTAGAAGTAGTACCGTAGAATTTATTGATTTAAACGATAATCATTACTCAGATATTTTTTTCGGCTGTGCGTATACGTGAAAAGAATTTTCGTAAAATTTATAAAAAGAGGTATGGTACTATAATGAGATTTTGGGTAAAAAGAGTGCCATAATCCTGGTAATAAAATAAAAATATCAGGCTAACCATGGCGGTTTTCGTACTTGCAGGTGTGGTAGGTATGCTACTTGAATCATTAGTGAAGTAATTTTTCCTTTCACATAGTAACGGTTTACGGGAAATTATAGTCTTAAATTTTATAGTTCTTACAACCACACAATTAGTAGGATTACAAAATTGAAAAGTAAATTTAATCGAAAAAGTGGTTTTTATATCTTTCCTTTTATACCTTACCTTTTATACCATACTTAAAGGTATCATGACAAATTGCGAAAAAGTTCTACAGAACTGTCATTTATTTTACCATTTATTTGACAATTTTATCCTTTTGATGTCGATGCGCATTTCCAAATAGAATGGTAAAAAAACTGTTTATACTTCTGCAGTTAATTAAGAATAGCGGTTTCCTTAAATGACTGATATGAGTGAGATGGCGTTTCCTGATCAGAGGGTAAATGGATCTAAATAATTCTTTCAAGAGTTTTAAAGATATTACACTCAGATTCAGTCCCGCACTTTACTGATCGTTAAGACACGGTTCCTAGCAGAGCAACGAAGTCAAGGATCACTGGTTGTGGTCAGTGAGTGGGTGGGTGACCACTTGGATCAGTCAGCGTAGGGATCGAGGGTATGTGGTTTTTGTCCTCGTTAAACTGTTCGACCGTAAAACTGTTCTACTCGACTGCGCTTGCAGGTTGTCGGAATACTAAAGAAGGGGTTCTATCCCATCTGTAGAGGATCAAAATTGTGATGGCATGTCTTCGGATCATCCTCAGGGATGCTTCCCAGACTATCGCCAATAACCCATTGTGCAGCTCTAGTGCTACGTAAATGAACTACAGCAGCAACAACAACTCAGATAGAATCAGCTAGTGTGTCTGTTGTATGCATCTTTCATGGGGAAGTAGGATTTATTTAAATTATTTTTTTACATAAAAGTGTGTTTTTTTTTTGTAAATACAAAGATTAGCTTGAAATCTTTTGCAATTTCGGAAACAGACAGTACAAGTTTGAGAAAGACAGCAATAACATGCCTTCAGTGTTGTAGCTGGATTATCCCGCTACATCCACGTTTCAGAGCGGTTGCGACAGGCCCTTAACATTTATAGTTAAGTAATGCATCTATAAATTATGGATGCTTCCGGTTCCGAGATTTTTTTCCTTTCACCAAACGCTTTAAAGCGTAGAGGTAGCGGGTTCAATATCGTTGCGCCGTCTTTCTTTAATTTGACCAAAGACAAGCCATTCGTAGTTATATGAAGCACACGAGCCTGCAATAATATCTAAACCAAATTTATTTATTTCTCGTTACACATCAGGGATTACAGTGAAATTCAAATTTCTACTGATTTAGTTTTGTCTAATATAGGCATTTGTATATTTACAAATACACATTTTTTTATAGTTATGTTGGCTTATAACTTATATAGAAATTAAGAACAACTCACTGGCAAAAAAAACATTAATAAGTACTTACCAAATAAAAAATAAGCTATTAAATAATTCTATTATCATCACAAATTCTACTATTATTGTCAAAATTACTGCATATTTGGTTAAAATGACCAAATTTTACCCCATTTACTGGCAAACAGCATATTAATAAAACCTGATTTTTCTGTTAATTTTACCAAAAGTTATTACTTAAGCCGCCCGGTAAAAATAATTGTGTTTCTTGGTGTTTTCATTCATCCAGAAACACGGTGACTTTTTCCATATGCAGGTAGTTCGGATAATATTTTTTCCCCAGTGTAGTACATTATCAGCTTTAAAAGATGAAGCGTCGATCTCTGTAGCTCATGGATGTGTGTTAAATGGTTTTGAACATGGGAAGGAATAGATGGAAACTAAAATAATGATATTGATTCAAAAGTGAATCTATATTTGATTATTTAATTAGAGTGTATTGACAAGATTGAGTTCTTAATCGTAAAATGAAACAGGTTTTTCTCATTTAAATAAATCAGCTAAATTAACTTTTCAGCTCCTAAAGAGGCCAAATACTTGCGACTAGTTTAAAAAATATTCCCAAGACAATAAGTTCATGTTTAGTATGCACTTTTTAAAAACATTTATTGCTTCGAAAATTCTACTTTTTTTTCACCGACATAGAAAATAATTGAAATCTTTAAATTAAGCTTAATTTTCAATACATATAAAACTATGGATGTTAATTAAGAAACCAAAAACTTATCAAGCCTATAGTTTTTATAAAAATTTAATTTTACAGTTACTATTAAAATGAGAACATTCTTACTCACTCTTTGAATACTGGTTTCAAAAGGTAATGTCTTCTCATAGATGAAACGAGTATGAAAGCATTTTTAGAAAGTTTGCAACACCTTTAAATGAATAGTTTGGGAGTTTCAAAAGTCTGGATAAGCTGATTAAACAAACAAGTTGAATGTGAGAAGCATATTAATTATGATAATATAATTTATTTGAATGATACAACGAATTTTGAAAAGGAATTTTTTGATTTAGTTATAATCATTCTGTCAATTCACGTTGTGAAAGGATTCTACGTGTCCATTTGGAATAATTCCATAACCCTTTTTTAATATTTTGCAAGCACTGAGTTATATTGATTAGAACCAGCATCGCAAGTGGCAATTTCTTAACACCACCAGCTGGCGAAACTGTAAATCATTGCAATCAAAGTTTGCGAGCGACGCCGTAGTTGTCACACAGTAGCCTGAATTGAAGAAAAGACAAGCTTAAGTCTAACATATATATTTTGATAAACAGCATTTTATAAAATTCATAGGCTTTGCTCTTGTAGACGTAGGCTATTTAGGCAAAGGGTGTGATTTTTCTTGTTTTCCAATGGCGCCATCTATGCCAAAGAATTCGACTTTTACCGCACCCATACATCACACACGTTTATAGGACCCATTGATATCCCTTCTTTCATCCACAGAGCGTAATTTTGACCTGAACCAGAGAACGATCAGCCTCCAATTCAGTATCCCTAGAAGCAGAATTTGTTACAGGAACATGGAAAACTTCGTGTCCCATCAGATTTAACGTGCACCAGTCACCATTTACTACATGGGGAGTCTTCCGCCTTCTAGATTCAAACTCCTATTATCACGAACGTTGGTCCAACGCGCTGCCACAGGGTCACTAATTACGAATATGAAGTCAGATTTGCAAATTTCAATATAGCTTATCCAATACGTCTATGAAAAAGACTACATGTTTGTCTGCAAGGCCATATATATGTCTGTGAAATTGACCATGTTTTAAAAACTGTCATTGAAACACATTAACTAAGTATTTATTTATTTTCGGCATGTATGATTGCTACACCATAAGAAATTTCTCGGGGAAAATGGTTAAATAATTTATTTAATTGTCATTTTACCATATTCAAACAAATCAGTCAAATGCCCCTTAATATGATGGTATTCAAACTGTTAACTGTGAGAAAAACAGTTTAACTACTTTCTCCTAATACGTTTATGTAACCAAAATTTTATTGCATCAACTAATGAAGCCTCTTAGTTCCTTGCAGCTGGGTGCATGTTATAGCCGAGAGAGCGAATATGTCAACCTCATGACCAACAGAACCTTATGACCAGCAGAACCCCATAACCAACAGTTCCTGCGTTGACACCGCAATATTTTCTCCAATCTTTTTAGCACATGAAGAGCTTCCAGCATCCCTCACTTCCCAATGCTTGACCCTGAACTATAATAATACGATATTTTCATTCACGCAGAGATGGCAGCATCATAAACAACACAAAATGTCTAGTATTTCCAATCTCTTACGATACGTTAAATAACCTGATAAACTAAGTAAGCCACGCTCATTTCATACAACACAACTCAACCACAGCCTAACCGAAATGCCCATCACCTAACGAAGAGCCTTGCTCTAATGTCTATTTAAATTATTTTTTTCAACGTCTTTGAATTTTTTTTTTATCCCGGTGACATAGAAAAAAGTATGCCGCGCAGTAAAGAATTGAGCACAAAATCTTTTCATTGGATAAAAATCTTTCTCCCCCAAAGGCTTATTTATTGGGTTCAAACAAATGGTTGTCTGAAGGTGCAAGGTTCAGGCTATATGGAGGATGTTTAACTGTTTCCCGGTGTAACTTTTGTATTACTGGGGCCTTATGGGGAGTCGCATTGTTGAAAGAGCACTCAGTGGGTCCGCATGAGACAAGTTTTTAACTTCTTCATGGTCTTGTTTAAATAACTTATGCCATTTGCATACTTGAACCCTCGTCAGAGTATTAGGGAGATTTCTCAAATTCACGTTAGTTTCCGTAATTTCCCGTTATTAAGATTTCAAGAAATTGCTCATGCGCCCTTCGGTTGCACATGCGTTAGTTCTTTTGAACTGCACATGCACCCGTGAAAATATATCTAACTTACGCAAGTGAAAATAAAAGATCTTACAAAAATCCGTAAGGTAAAAACGCTAACGTAGTGGAATATCATTTTAACTTCGACCACAAAATCAAAACAAACAATTACAGTGGACGTAGTCTGTATCTTTAATGCTGTGGTATACGATTCAAGATGTTTTACTCTACACACAACTGTGGTTCCATGAGCAGAAAAATTTGGTAAATTATAGATTTTGATGAATTCCGCTATAAAGAATCCAGATCAATTTTATTATTAATAATATTTAAAAAATATTATTGAAATTTTATTGATTATTGAACTTCTTTTTTACTAAATTGCATAGCTGAAATATATATAATTTATTATTTTGAAAGAGCGAAAATATATCTAGTTTCTTGTGGAACTGGTGCAATTAGGCAACCATAAAGTTAAACAAAAACCAATTAAATTACCTTTTTATTGAATGAGTCAATTGCTGTAAGATCACACGACTCATTTCGAAATTTAATCAATCCATTTCTTTAAAATCACATTCCATGTCCATGTTTATAGGCAAGCTTAAAGAGAAAACAACATTTAACAGCTAGAAGCAGCGTGCTTGTACCTTTGTCTTTGTAGAGTGAATCACGCCAACACAACGTAAAGATAAGTAGCATCTAGAATAAACGTGATCATGCATAGTTTTAATCAAACTTACGTACTAAAGCTAACGTAAAAGTTCAAAATATTCCGGTTATTGCCTAGCTGTGTCTGTAATCTGCTCAAAATTTCAATCGGTTCGATACTTTATCTTATTAAAAATTTACTTATTATGCGTTATGTAACTGAACTAAGAACGTTACTCTCACTCATGATTCGAGTTACTAAAAAAACGACTTAAAAAGAACTAAATACTGCCAGACAATTATTTAGACTCTAGATAAAGTTCCATTATAACCATAGCAAAGAAAATAAAAATCATCTGCTGCTATTAAAAAGTCTAATTCATATTTGATCCACCTACGTATTATAATTTTGTAAAAAGAATTTTTGCGAATTTTGAATGCATGTTTGACACATGAACATCACAGCAGAAGATTGGATTATGTCCATAAAGCTGATTCGAAGAAAAATTAATTTTGCGCATAGAAAGGAAGGGTTTTTCTGCAATACGACCCATTTTCATAACGTAATAAATCTCGGAGATAACCATATATTCTCCGTATTGATTCTTAAAAGCTTAATAATCCTCAATAAGCAACAGATGGAAATCCAATCTTAGAAAAAATATTTATAGAAAAAAACAGACATAAGCCGTTTTATCTCCTTGGTCTTCACATATTTATGGTGGATTTCTTTAGGCACACTTGTTAGTTTCTGGATCACATTCTAAACCTTTATCACATCCAGAAGTTGGGGGAGGACCACCTCTGAAATGCAACGTGGAGCAACTCTGTCCTTCTTCTAAAATTAGAAAAAAAAGTTGTGAATGTTTTAACACATTTAAAGACATATAAATGTAGAAGTTTTATTTCATCTTATTTATTTAAAATGAATCAAGCAATGCATATTTAAACTGATGTTTAGATAGAAAAGAGTGTATTTGTTACCGTGGATGACTAAAATCAAGCGAATGTCGACTTTTACTCGTGAATGACAACAATCACATAGTCGCTTTGAATGTCCGAAATATTTGTTATATCCAATTTTATATTAATTTATTTGTTGATACTATTATATTTATTTGATATTTTAATATCTGCTGAGGATAGACTAGGTTCGGTGTACCGGTTAAATGCGTACTGGTCAGTCACATTTGATCTTAAAAAACATTGATGCAAGGCATACCGGGCAGTGGCCCTTAACTGGACCTAGTGTATATTTACTTACTATTAACTTATTCGTTGATAATATTATATTTATTCGATATTTTGATATGAGCTTAGGATAGATTAGAAGAAACATCAGTGTTCTGAGTACCGGTTAATTGCATACTGGGCAATGGCACTTGCTCTTAAAAAAACATTCATGTAGGGCATACCGGGCAAATGTATACAGGACAGTGACACTTAACTAGATCTAATGTATATTTCGGACATTCACCGAAGTGATTATGTGACTGTCAACATTCAATAACCACCATGTCAACATTCAACATGTCAACATTCAATAAGACATGTTAACATTCAATAAGTCAATAACCACAAATTTTGCTCATTCATTGTAACATATGTAATAAACATTAAAATGTATCCAATACGAAAAAAAGCATAAAATTTTCTACATTTAGTTTTAAAAATGTGGCATGATTCGGATGAAAGAAATTCATATTTAGGTGATTGTTGCTCTGGATTATTTTCTATTGAGACATTTTGTAGATCGCAGTACTCATATAATTTGAGAGAAAAAAAACAACAGATTTGCCGTAAGACAGGAACGCTTATTTAGAGAAAGTGCGTTTTTGTAAATGCTTCCGTATCGTAAAAATCACCCAAATATGATTAGCTTGTACTATTAAGATCCTTTCCTTGTTACATTAAAATAACATCTCAACATGTAAAAATTTGATCATTCGATCAGAAGTTATTAAGGTGCTCGATTTTTTATTGAGCTTTGTATAGTGTTGAATACATAGCGAAGTACGAAACAATTTTTAAAAAAATAATACAGTATCAACTGAAATACTATTATGGAGCTCTGAAACCAGATACAAAAAATGTATTTTAACTGAAAAAATAGTTTTTTTAATGGATTCATATTTCCGATCCTAAAGATACATAATTCCAATTTTTTGGAGACTGGTGGTTTAAAGATTTAGAACCTTAATGTTATTTCCCTCATTCTTCCGTTTTTGTCATATATTGAAAACTAATTGCACACATCAAAAAACTTTTATCTTAATTTATAAGACTATCCCAAAAATGATTTTATGCAAAAAGTAATTTTTACAGTACACGATTTGCATTTCATAAATGTATGTGGTCACGAATCTGATGAAATTGCTTTAACCCCTTAACGATCGGTTAATTTTCAAGAAAACGGTCATAAAAGTGCCTATTTTTTTGGCTTTTGTGTTTGTATTACGTATTTGATTAGTGTTAACATCTAGTTTAAAATAAACAAACTATCTTCAATTACCTTAAAAATATCCTGGTACTGCCATCTGGTGTGTAAAATGTGAAATAAAATGTTTTCCGGGCAAAGGAAATTAATTAGTTTTATTCTTATTGGCGCGTTACTACTGAACACTCCAGCCNTCCGCTAAAAATGTCACATGTCAAATCTAGCTGAGGTGGCTCAACATATAGCGCTTTAAAAACGGAAACTGAAATAACCAGAGAGAGTACCTTAACAGAGCGAGTACCAGAGTGAACCTCAGTATTTACTAAAAAGATTATTTTTTTTAAAAAAAAAAGCTGTTAAATGGATTTGAATGATTGTTTTGAATTCTTAGAATTTTGTGCATTTTCAACGAACCTAAGTTAGTAGCGAGCGAAGCGAGCTTGGTCTGCGAAGCAAACCATATAAGATTGCGTAAAGAGCAATTTTCGGGGGTTGGCGAGAGTTAATGAGCAGGGGACACAACCCACAAGCTGTTTTAAACATGCTTATTAATTTACGCGTATTGCCTAATATTTCAAGGATATTTGTTTCTATGAAACTTAATTTACGCAGATGAGATAGGTGTTGAATTAAAATTCAGAACTTCGTTTTAGGAAGTGTATCATTACTCATGGAAAGCTAGATTAAAATATTATATAGATCAGTATCTTATGAGTGAACGAAGCTATATATTAAAAGAACAACGAAAGTAACTCTGGAAGTCGGCGAGTGTAGAAAATGGATAGGCGCTGTCCCTTAGTATGATATTACCAGTCAATATCTAAAATTTATATAAAGTCGGTATAATAGTTTGAGAAACAGAAAATTAGAATAATGTCTATTTTATTAAATATAAGAAACAACCTACTTAACACTGTGTAACATGTATTGCAGCATCCACAGAAACTACCTCTTTTCATTACTATTTGTCCTTTTTTACATTGTAGTTTTGGGCATTTATGGGTTGCACAGTAGTTTCCACATGCAATTGCATTCACCACAGTAATTAATACACACAACAGAATTACTTGCTTCCACATCTTTTTCTAAACCAAGAAATATAAAAGTTATACAATCTATAAATATGAAGGGAATTAATTATCGACCATGTCAACCTTCATCTATCAAAAGGTACCTCAACTGATGGAGGTTAAGCTAATACACCAAGATTATATTATCTCCTAAAAGTGATTACGAGGGTTGTTTTTTAAGTAAGGGTCGTTTTGCTGTGAGTCGCAACGAGTGTTTGCATCGTGTCTTGGTATCCCTTGGAAACAACTGTGCTCAGTTACAGTTGTGTAGGGAACCTGTACGGTCAGTTCAGTGTCTTTAAAATGTTCAATGTTAACAAAGCTGCCTCAGCGTATGAGGTACGTCAGTGATGCGTTTTTAGTCTTCAAAAAACCTGTCTGCTGCATATATTCACCGGAACATTTGCGAGGCTTACGAAGCTTCCTATTGGCAAGCTGACAGGAAATTTTGCTGCTCCATGACTTTGACTTTCTCCACAGCTCAATCCCGAAATTTATTGGACTCTTTAGGCTGGGAAGCTTTGGATCACCTCTCCATACAGCCCAGACCTTGCGCTAACTACTTTCTATCTTTTCCAATGCTTCAAGCATCATTTTAACAGCAACCAGTACAACGATGACGAAAACGTAAAAACAGGTGTAACCCTTGGCTATTGAAACAGTCAGCAAGTTACTATGAAGAGAGTATTCTAAATCTAGTTTTAGGGTATGTTAAGTATTAAGCAAACTTAGCAACGATTTTGAAAAAAAGAGAAACGCATGTGGAATCAAAAAATAAAATTGCTTCATGAAAGTTTTCTTTCGTTTGTTTTTTATTTAGAAACGGCCCTTATTTAAGAAAAACAGCCATTGTACATTGTGTTTTTAACATCCCTGGCACAAATTGTTTGTTGATTGAATATCCTTGGATAGAGTCCAATTAAGTAAAGCTTACTTCTAACTTTTTATTTAAATTTATATTAAATATCATAAAAGCATTTACAAATTATTTCTATTTTAATGTAGTCATTGCAAATAATGTTCTCAAATATTAGGACACATTTCAAACAAGATCAACTTAGCGAAGACAAGATCAACAGGAGTGGAGCAAGCTTTCTTTGCAAAGCGAAATTTTTAAGATTGCTTAATAATATTTCGGAATTGGTGTGTATTGATGAGGGGGCCGGACTCACAGGTAAGAAAACTTATCTTAACTGGTAGTTTATCATCGTAAATAACAAAAGTTAATGAAAATTACTTTTATTGATAACAAGCTAGAAATATGTGTATTTTTTAACTAAGCTAGTTTCATTAAAAATCAAAATAAAAATGAATATTTACAACCACAATTAATTCTAAAACAGTTTGAGTTAATCAGCTTAAAGCAGAAAAAGTTTCAATAAATACTTTTCAATTTCATAGATCTTTCAAATAGCCTAAAACATATCCATGTTACCACTAAAGTGTAGAAATCCTTAATTCCACAGATTATCTAGCTAAAATGTAAATAAACTCAGGTAATCCATTAAAGTATCAAAAACTTGTGTCATCTATCAAAATACCTAGGCAATCTGTAATTATGATAATTACCTACTTACTGGACACTCATTACTGGACACACACCTCATTGCCTACTGGACACTCGTTCAAGTGAAAATAAGATCTTTGCTGAAACTACTAGAATATTTCTGTACTCTCAAATTTACGTAATCTAATGTAACGTAACGTAATGATATATTTTTCGACAACTAAAAAAGTCAAGTTATTACAATTCAACAATCTTTACACTAGCTGATAGAATCACTCAAATCGAATGGCACAAAGAATTAAATGGCTTACAATATTATTACAATAAATGAAATTAACATTATGTGATGTATTTATTTCTCAGTATCTAAAGAATTAAGTCAATAAATATAATTAAAAAATCAACAAATTAATTTAAATAATGAGTGAAGCGAATTTTTGAACTTTAACGATGCGGAAATCGTTAATGCGTACATTATCTAGGTAAATCGTTGAAAAACATTAGTTCTACATTTTAACGGAACGAATCAGTCAATTTGCAGGTTAGCTATAAAGAGTACACATTAACGGGTTCTGAGCTTTAGTGGTAACATCGATATATTTCAGTTAATTTTAGAAAGGAAGCAAACAATTATACAAGCAAGAAAACATTAAGATATTATTTACAAGACCATTACTTTCGGAAGAAATATGCTGTATTCAGACTCGCCAGAATAAATACTACAATGATATTTACAGTCGATCATAAATTGCTTTTAATTTAAGGTAATTATGGAAGTTTATTTTTGTTTATTGAAATTTAAACTGATAATTAAAGTACATTCGAATTATTACTTACTACTTCAGGAATTGAAATGATTCCGCTGATAAGAAAAATCAAACAGCATATACTTTAAGCTGTTTTATTAATATATTTTTATTGTACTTTTCAATATACACAACAGTTGAACAAATAAAGAGGGAAAAATGTTTTTGTTGCATTTAATTTTGGTAGAGGACAACGATTTTGATCTGTAATTGTCCTTTACATAATGTTTTATTGCACATATATATCTGAGATATATTTTTTTACATGGAAGGGTTATTGTTATTGCGTTTTTTTTTAGTGAGATGTTTTTCATTTATCTTTCGAAGAAGAAAATAAATCGAGCAAATTTCATTCTTGAAATTTTTAAATGCATATTATATACAAATGTTCGGTATTTTTCGGTTTGCTGAGCACAAACGTAAAGTCACCAAAAAATGCAGACCTCCACCTACTTTTATTTTTTAATTTTTTAAACACCAAAAATTAAATTAAATAGAAAATGAATTAAATTAAAAAAAATTAAATAAAAAATAAGAAAAATAGTTGAATTTCCTTGTGCCGGCAAATCAAAAAGTACCAATTTTTTTTTTAAATATTATATTTCGTTGTAGAAGTTTGCTTATCCTTTTAAATAGCTCATATTTCTTAATTTCATCCAAATATGAAATTGGTTCTCATATCAATCAGATAGTTGAAAAAGGAATATTGCCGAAGATGAAATCGAATCATTGAGACGTTAGCTCTAAATTTATGTTAAGATAATGATGCGTGGTAATATTTTATTAGTTGATTCACGTGTCTCTTTGTTAACTCACATCACATACTCAGTAATTGGAATTCCTCATTTTCTATTTGAAGTCACGAAAAATTACTCAATACAGGAAATGAAATAAAATTTTCCTAATCCGTCATGATTTTGTTTCAGAAATATAATTCTGTATTCCAAACAGCTTACAAGAAAGTAAAAATTTGTTTGATATTTATTTAAATGATTATTTAAAGCAATTTAGAAGAATAATTTAATTTATTTTTTGACTACCAAAATATTTTCTCATGAGTTGATTGAATTATTTGGATTTATTCAAATCTGATCAAATTATTCAGATGATTTTTTTAACAGATCTCAGATACTTTCGTATCGCTGATTTATTTGAAATCTGCAAGCTGCCGATTCTTTTCTGATATAGTTTTTTTAGTTCATTATTGTCGAAATGTACAGTACACAAAATAAAAAACGGACCACCTTGAATAACTTTTGATCTAAATATCGAATCATCACATTCTAGGATTTAATCTTAGTGGTCTAAGAAGGTGATTTTAAATATGCTAATTAATTAGTGCAGACGATATTTTAAGTAACGAAATCGGACACTAAAACGTACTTTCTTTGAATAAACATACCTTTTTTCCCAATGGATTTGCGATTCTAACTTCAAATATATGGAGTGTAGCCACAATGTTTGAAAAATGATTTATACAATGATAATTTCATGCTAAATATAACTGTTAATAAATAATTATGATTTTATTTAAAAATAGTCTAAAAAATTTTGCATTGTAAGGTATATAATTTTTACATAATTTTAAAGAATGTAAATCTGCATGGCATAATACAAAATTTGGGCGAAATAGTTAGTGAGAAATTGTATTTTAAAAACACGGCTTTTTAAAATTCGAATTACCAACAACTATTCGAACGATTTCACTCAAATTTCGAATTTTGGCATGCAAAATTACATTACCTTAAATGAAGCGAAAAGATTGTGTACCTTAAAATTCAAAATAATTTCGACTATTAATGAATAAAATAATAAAAATTGATCAATATTTACCTGGAGTTATTTTTTGCATGGAAGTATCTCTGGATAAACGAATGTTATAACTGTGTGAAAAAGGTTTTCAATATCCCCGAGATATTCTGAAATACTCAAAAAATAAATTTAACGTTAAGGGGTCTAAACTTTGAACGAAACTACTGCCACCATATTTATCATATTGCAGCTACCTCATATTTTTGGGGGGTCAGAAATCCAAATATGTCGAAAACACGGTATGTTTATTCAAAGAAAGTACGTTTATGCGTCTGATTTCGAAACTTAAATGTATTGTCTGCGCTAATTAGCATATTTGTGGTCACCCCTTTGAACATCGAGTTCTAGAACATGAAAAATTTTATCCCTTGTAATACTAAAATGAAAAATCTAATCTAAAGTAACTCTGGGAGTTTCGTTTATTCTTTTGCACACTGTACTTCAACTACATTCTTCAAACATTTTACTAAACTAAAATATAGGAAAGACCCATAAACGGATGATACCTAATTATACAATGTTATGATGAGGAATAATTATCCCATAAGAACTGATTTATAGTTTGGGGAAAGACCATCCAATACTTACTAGATTAAAAACAGCAGAGGTTAGTTGAAAAAGCAGAGATTATTAATTACAATTACTGGGAACTGTGAATTCTTCCGAACAGTTACAATTAAAGCTCTCTCGCTCTCACGGTATTTCTCAAAACAGCAATAAATCAACTAGTGCTATCCATTTACCGAATTCTATCCTATATAAAATTGTAGTGGGAGAGTAAGGTAGTGTAACTACCACTACAATAATACAATCTCAATTGACTAGTATATAAAATGTGTTAGCTCCATTCTATCTTGGGGTACCTTTAGGTAGATGAAGATTAACGTGGTCAATAATTTTTTTCCCTCGAGATTCACAGTCAAAGCAAACCATTGGTTAAGATTAACTGCAATAGTTGCATCATCTTGCAAAGTAATAGATATTAGCTGTTTTAATATACACCTAACTTATTTAAATTTTTGATACCTTCTCTTTGATTTTAGTTAACTGTTTTCGATTTTCGTAAGACTTAGTTTGAGGTTGTTTTTTTTAATCTAATTTTGTTTTTATATCTCAAACTCTTTAACTTTTCTTTTGTTGAGTTTAAGTTCAATCGATTGTTTCAGTTTATTTTTCTAAGGGCTTCTTGTTAAAACTACAGCTCTTTGTTATTTCAAGGCGAATTCGCCCTCATGTGTTTGGAATCTAAAAGACTGATTCGATTGAAACCTACAATGCAGATAAAGGCAAAGTAGATTGGTCTTAAACACCTGATTACTGCAATCACAAAGAAGCTTATCAATTGGATCTGATTGGTTCGTCTCTGATTAAAATTTCAGCTGACGAAAATTAATTTCATTAAAAATATATTAATCAATGAGCCACACACAAAAGAACTTTAATCATTGAATAGAATTTTCAATTGTTGCTAGTTTATTATAAGTCTCGGTCACCAGATTGGAATCTTGCTATTGCGTGATAATCTAGCCGGGGTAACTTTGCAACCACTTATCAACTGCTTAAATAAAGTGCAGTTTAAAAGGGTTTAAAAATCACAGGCAAAGAAGTAGGAGTGGATGCGTTGTCTTTCTACGAAGCTGTAACATAATTTATCTTACATTCTTTGCCACCTCCAAAACGTCTAGATTTTTTGAATGCCTAAAATGACCATCCGAACGAGATAGAACTTGTATTATACACGAACATGTAGGTAAACTTCCATCCTTAGGTGAATAATAAAAAGTGATATATGATTTCAGGAAGTACACTATCGTGAACAAAATGTAGAACCTTTTAACAGCAAGCTAAATTGTTGGAAGAAAAGAAATTATTTCTAAAAGATATTAAACTTATATGGTTGATGTGGACTCTGGATAGTTCTTAAACCATACCAGTATTATTTAGAAGCGAACAGGAAGTACAATTTCGGCAACTACGCTACTTCTTAAACAAAGCGTTATTCCTAGCATCAAATAATAGTTAGCTATCAAAGAAACAAGTAGATAACAGAATAAGTTGTTCAACAATTATTTTAGGCACTTAATAATTTGCAAACAACAATAGATTTGTTGCATGCTTTCATAGGATGTACAAAAATTACAATGAAAACTAGTAAACTAGTNTCCATCTACTATATATATATATATCATAACCTAAAAATTAGAAATATTTCGAATCATAAGTTTAAAATATGAATATGCCCGCACTCAAAAGAACTTCATCAAATTTATTAAATCTTTAATACCGATATTTTTTCCAAACTTCGGCAACTGGTTATCATTCACGGGTTTGTTCAAATCATTCTCCCAAAAGTAGCGAAATGGTATCGTCGGATACCACGTGCCTAAGGCGGAGTCAAATACCAATACCTGGTGAACAAACAGTAGTTACTCTTCTCGGTGGCTTTTTTTAAATCAGATTAAGCTATATGTATTATTAGAAGATTTTCCGTTCAAAATAAAGATTAATTATATTTAGTATAATTTAGAATAAGACTATTGTTCGATGTCGACTCCTATTAGTCAAAATTTACCATAAGCAAGACATTTTTCTTGCACATGGCGCAATATATTTCTTTCTTAACACAAAGACAGGCAGGATAAACAGGCAAAGATACGAAAACAAGTAATAAATCAACGGCACTGTATTTAGTTAACTTCACGTTAATTAACATTCTAACTCATGCGGAGAAACTTAGCTCAACTTTAACACGCCATTTAGGTTATGACCAATCAACTGGCTCTGACATATGTCCCATGTGTGGGTATCATAGTCTTTTGCCAAGTGCAAGTACCCAACTGTATGTGCCTCCATGTATTGTTATTTTTTAGATTTCGATAGCATTTCCTCCCACTTAAATATTAATTCCCCAATGTGTATAATTTTTTTGTTATTAATTTTAATAAAGCTACTAAAAATGTATATTAAGGGCAATAACTATGGAACCCTCTGCAGAGTTACTTCTGATATTTAATTGGTTACTTTTGTTTCATTCTATCGTCCTGAAATATGTTATATTTTATTTGCGGTATTAGTAAACACTCATAGTATATTTTATATTGATTTCCTTTAATTATGCTTTTGATGGTACGGTTTTCTTTTCACGAAACCCTTTTCCTTGCTTTGGATCTAAAAGATTTTTTTAATCAATTGTACATTATATATTGTAAATTTTTAATGCCATTAAACACAAAAATATATTCTTTCAATGATTTTCTAAAAGCTTCTTCAAAATGTAGTAAGTAACTAATTTCTGTAAATTATTGTATTGAATGCCAGAAAGCTATAATGATCTTGAAATATTTCTTTATAATCCAATTGGCACTGCGTTATTTTCACCTAAAAATAAAATAAAATAACTGTTGTTAAACACATTTTAATTAAATTTAAAAATTACTTAAGCTATCTTCTATGCATACGGAAATTAACTTTATTGTCAAATTGTGAATATGTATTTCATTACCCATCGTGAAAAATGTCTTTTCCGTCTAAAAATTATATTTTGTATTATTTGTGTGGCATATTGCATGCATTAGTAAAATTGTCTGCATGATTTGTATTGCGTACAAAATTGACAGGACAAACTGTGAATTAAATATACGAAATTACGTCTATAGATTTCACTTAATTAATAACAGGTTTATGAATTAAAATTGTGTGCATGGAGTAAATTCATGAAAACCTGATTCATTAATTTATTTAAAGCTGTTTTCAAGAGCTAAAAAAGCTGTATCCCACTTATTCAATGGTCCCAATGAAAATACCCTGGAGTTGCTTTATCACTCAAATTTTGTAGGTGAGACCAGAAGGTCATCACCAGGTTTATCAGTGGACAATTGAGATGTCTGTCTTATTCCAATAGAACTAAGGTTTTCCTAAACTGTGTTTAGTGTGCTGGCATCAGGCCACCCTTGACCATATGATACATTTGCCTGATGATTTTCAAATATGATCTTTTCAAAAACCTTGTTCTAGTATTAGACTTTCTTAGAGTGACATATTTCATAGACCTAATTTAATGTTGCTAATCAACGGAGGTATGCAACAACAGCAAAAATGGAATAAATTAAGTGCTTAAACTAAAAGTGTGAAAATCTTGATGAATGGAAAAACAATTAAACAGCGTTTTTTTTCTTGTTGCCTATCAGATCATTACATTTTGTCTGGCACAATCATTGTATTTACGTTAATTTGACCTTTAGTATTATTTGTCTGACCATCTGTCAGATTTTTCCTCCGACTGCATAACATTATTACAGAAAAAATTCTAGGTATTTTAAATACATTATCTCATAGATTTTTAAGTTGATTGAAAAATCTGAGGAAAAAATTTTCAACTAAATTTTAATTTAATGAAATTAGCCTGATTTCCTAAGTAGAACGAATCAAACTGTTTATTTCTATCTACATTCATTTTTGCTTGATTTTTTTTACGTTCTCTCGTTTTTGAAAGACTCAGCATTTCTGTTAAGAATGTGATAGCAAATTTTTTCAATACTTTAACATTTACAGATAACAGCTTTATTATAAATGTTGTTATAACTCACCCGAACGTTTCTGGCAATAAGGGCAACAGTTGCAACCAAAACCTAGTACTGGATATTCATCACTTGCACAGTTCGGTGGTGGACAATTCTTGACGTCACATGGCAACTTGTATGGGCAAAGTTGCTGTGACATGGAAAGATGAGCAACAACAAGAAGTAGAGGGAGGATTTTAATGATATACATTTTATTTCTCTTCCAAGTCTGAAAAAAAAAATTTGTGTAACTTTTTAATGATATTTTGAACTTAAACATTATCTTACGTACGCACCCGTATGTAAGATTTGAATTAACTGAGCATGGTCGCGTTTATTTTAATGCTACATATCTGCACGCTATGTTGGCGTGACTAACGCTTCAAAGACAAAACTGCTAACTCACTGTTTACAGCTGTTAAATGTTTTGATTCTACTTAAGCCTACCTTCTAACTTAAAACAGGGACATGGATTGATAATTTGAAGAAATAAGTTGATGAAATTTAGAAAAGAATCTTGTGATATTACAACAATTGGTTAAATGAAGAGATCATCTACTTCCATTGTAAATTTGTTTTGATTTTGTAGTTAAAATGATTTTCTACTAATTTAGCTTTTTTAACTGATGAATTTTTGTGAAATATCGTATTTACGTGAGTTTGATACTTTTTCACGGGTGCATGCGCATTTCACCAGAATTGACGCATGCGTACTAAGAGTACTTTATTTTTAGGATACAATGAGTTCATTTTTAGACATGGTCAATGAGCGAGGGCCGGTGTAGCCTGGATTTTAGGGAACTGGACCCTTGTCCAAGAGGTAGTAGGTTCAACACCCACCGGCTGAAGGCTCCCAGTGTAGTAAAGGGTGACTAATGCAAGTTAAATATTTCGAGTTACAAAGTCCTCCATGTTCCCATAACAAATCATACCTCTAGGGGAAATCTAATCCAGGAGTTTCCTTGACTCATGGATTGGCTCAAAATTACAAGACTACGGAGCTGATCATTAGTAAACCCAAAATTGGGTCGGCAGTTCAACGACGGATATAAAAAAAAATAAAATGATCGTATCTGAACTGAGATTTTCCCGGACATATCAGAGAGATATTTTCCCATTGACTCAGGTTCGAATTTCGATGCTATTTGGATGATTTCTGTATTATTTATGACCCTCACCGATCAGAGATCATATGTAAGATGAGTCTTAAGTTAGAGAGCTCTTAAGTAAAGATTTAGACGGTTTTAAAAATTTTTAAATAAAAAACATAGATTAAATATAATAAGATATTAACACTGGAAAGACTCTCGTTGCATTTTACGGGAGTCTAATAAGCAAACTAGTCCCAATATTCTTTCTTTTTTAAATTGGACTTCTTTTATATCATCATTATATCAGTTTACTTAGATTGAAAAATATTATTTGCGTTTGGTGCAGTGGAGTCAATTTTAGCTCTTATTCCATTAAACGCTGCATTCAACTTATTAGGAGAAATACGGAAAACACTGAAAATAGAAGATAGCACAAAAAATATATCATTGACATACACACCGAAGAGCCATTACACACTCCATCTACAACAATGGGTTCGCCCAGATTTTCATGGTTTCTCGCCCAGGAACAATGTTTTCATGGGGCACATTAGGACCCATGATCCTCACAGAACAATCCCTGACGTCTGTAAGCTACTTGAACATAGTTCACCCATTCATGGCAGCAGTTTTTCCTGCGGGGGATGGTGTTTACCAACAGGATAATGCACCATGTCATAGGGGTCGAATCGTCGAAGAACATTCCAGTGACTTTCAAGTTATGTATTGGTCCCAAATTCACCTGACCTTAATACAATAGAGCATTTGTGGTCCTACTTAGAAAACCAAATTCGTGCTGCCACGCTACCCCCTCGCAATGTGAGGGAATTGCAAAACCAGTTGGTGAGCGCTTGGTACCAGATACCTCAGACTACCTATCAGCACCTTGTGGAATCAATGCCACTGCGGGTGCTAGCAGCTTTGAGGGCTAAAGGTGGTCCTACATGTAATTAGCAGGGTGGTCACAATGTAATGGCACTTCGGTGTATACTGATATATTGATAGAATAAGGAGTTTTCTCCAAATTCTTTCCCAATTTTTTAAATAAATAAGTAAAATTTTATTTTTATAATTAAAGTGAGTAGATTTTGTATTATAAATGCAAGGTTTATCCTTCCACCTTCCGATAAAAGAAAATAAAAAACATTCTCAGGTGGGTAAATATTTGCTTCAAATGAATTGATTATAAGCTTTTAGTAATATGTTTGAAATATGTAATATTAAGTAATATGTATAACATTGCCACTTTTAACAAGCATGAAATACGGATTTACAACTAATTTCCCTGTGAGTTTTATTTCATTGATTTATGGATGCCCAATGAACAGAGAGTAAGATATTAAAAATGACAAAAGTTTTTTTTATAAATTGTCAGATTTGGATAAGCTTGGGATAGATAAGAGCGCAACAACGAGAAAAGAAAAGTATTTCGAATAGTTACCAATTCATTATTACAAAACTTCGGAGGAAGACGAATGCATTTATTTGTTGTGAGAGCCAAAAAAAAAATGAAGAAAAGAAAAAAAAAACCTAAGCGAATTTCCTTGCAGTGAGATTACAAATGAGCATTTAATAAAAGAAAAAAGGCAATCATGCAAATTGCAAAAAAATGTTTCCAATAGTTAATAATAACTCCAGTGCCTCGAATGAAAGCATCTATCTTACTGTAGTCTTTTGTTTATCTTTATCTTTGCTATATGAATAGCGACCCCAATCAATATTGCTTGTAGGGTTGTAAAATATGGTCACATGAAGCGTATTTGGCCAATCTCTAAATAGTGACATTCATTTTCAGCAACAATGAAATCAAAGCAAGTAGCTGTTTGATTTGATATGGTGGTATGCATCTATAATAATAAAACGAAGGGTTTGAGCGTGTTTATCTTTATCTTTGCTATATGGTAATTAACCCCAAATTACATAACTTATAGGATTGCAAAATATGGACACATTAACTGTGTTTGGTCAATCTCCAAACAGTGACATTTATTTTCAACAACCATGAAATCAAAGCTAGTAACTGTGGAATTTAATATGATTGTATACAGCTATAATAATAGAACAAGTTTGCACGTGTGTGTCTATCTCTTGAAACTTAAGAACCGTTTGTATTAGCATCTTTTAATATCGACATTGGGTGAAAAGGTACATTTAGACCACGATCCTAAAACTGGTTAAAAAGTTTCAATGAGTTTGCTCGGTAGGTACTTGAGAAAAATCAATTTTTCTCATATCTTTCGAAAAATCATGTTTTGAAAAATAATTTTTCGGTAGGTAGGTACATTATTTACCTCGCACTAGAGCTGCACAATGGGCTATTGGCGACGGTCTACCTCGAACCCATGAACTCTCGGACATGGGCCTAGTGCCCTACCGACCAGGCTATCTCAGTCTGGTACTTTTTTAAAATGCTTTAAAAATTTTTTTTTATTTCTGTTATTTATAATAATATTAATATTTCGAAAGGGTTAAGAGATGAACTTTAAAGATTATAATATTTAAATGTTTTTCAGTCAATAGTAAGTCCATCTTAGGTTAAAATGTAAAATAAATAAATAAGTAAATAAAAATTATGACTATACGCATTTAATTTGAGAAAGGATTTATAGAAAAAAAAAGATGTAACTAGATTAATTACTTTAAGAAAACTGTTATTAATTTTTTGTAAGCTAATTGAGGTTTGCTTCTAATTTTTAACAATTTTTAACAATTTTAATATTAACTTCTAAACTGTGTTTAGAAGGTTAAAACTAAACAATAAAAGTTGCAAAACCCAACTGAAAATGGATTGTTTAATGAAAAATACTTGATAATGTCAACACTAGTTCATTTATAACCAAGCTTTCATTTCGTAAAAATAACTTTATATTCATGACAATTACTGAAAGTTTACTTACGTGTAAGCCATAAAAATACCACGTGACTTGTTTTAGCGCTGACACATTTTATAGCAGTAGGTTGGATAGCAAACTTTTGTGAGATTTTAATAAAATATTTGTTGGCACATTTACGTCAGCAAGTTCCAACGATCTTGTCTTGCTTTTAATTGCCTTAGTATGAAGTGAACGATTAAAAATTCACAACTTAAATAATTTTTTACAAATATTGTAGAATTATAAATATAGCAAATACTACATATAATAAAATCAAAAAGATGCAATGACAGCTGGTCCGTCAATAAAATATTAAATTGCATATTACTTTAAGCAATAATTAAATAACAATCCAAGTAAACTATTTCCATGTATTTTCTGATGTTAAACCCCATATAAGTGCGTTCATAGATTTTGATGCTTTACATGCAATGATTTGACAATAAATCTTTTAATATGTTTTTTGAGCAGTATATTGCTAATTGGCTAAAAATAATTTTAAAACTATACATAAACGGTAAGCGTTCTTAAATATTTTTATAGAATTCTCAATTTTTTTCCAAAAAGTAGATGAAGTTTATATAATTATAATTGCGTTTCGGTCATTAATGAGCTTAAACATATACTAAAATGGTCCAGTTTATTATATGAAAAGTAATATCTTTCTATCTTGATGTATTTTGAGAAGTCTTAAACCATTGACTGTTTTCGCGTTTAGTTGGTTCGAATGTTTTATTGATTGTTAAACATATATTTAAAGTAAGTAGAATACCGTAAAAGAAATATTCACATAATAATATTGCAAGAGTATAACATTCGCTGCAACGGACACTTAGCATCGATATTTCTTTTTGATTGTTGGTATTTGTCATTCAATAAAATTGACTGATAAAAAATTATAACTTTTGTTTAACTGCAGTAGTACTGGTATATTCCAATTAGATAGATTGCAATAGCAAATATGATTTCCACTCCCAGAAAATTAAGCGACATGCCAAACACGCTATCTTATCTTTAAACCAATTTAAGCAACCGAATTAAACCTCTTGACAATAACCAGGGAAGACTCAGATAAAACTAAAACGAGATTTAAAAATCAACTAAACATTATAACTATTCTTTATCAATGTTTTTATTTTGCATTTTAAACGTTGTTAGATTAAACATAGTATCTAAAGCAATTCTACTAATAATTCAGCATTTGATTTCCGTCTTATCCAAACCATAATAAGATAAATTCAACTTCTTTTTGAAAACACTTGGTTTGAAATATTACTTTCGCCAACCGCATTTATTCACATAATTACTAAAACTGAATAAATAAATAGAGTAAATAGAATATTTTAATGAATATAAACCAATATCGATATGTTTTAATACTATCGATGTCATTAAACTGAACATAACTCGATAAGTATGATAGGATATTAATGTAAATATTGCTAATTTTTAATAATTAGTGTTATCCCGATAAATAACGCCATGATAATTAATGCTAAATCTTATTGATATTTGGAGACCAAGTCGGAAGAACGGTTTACGTCCATTTTCACAAAAATTACGATTGGATCGTCCTCTGTTGCATTTTGCCGAATACTAACTTTTGAGGATTCGATTCCCCCCGAGAGTTATTACGCAGTGAAAATAGGCCATACCAGCAAAATTTTCGTGACCAAAATCTCCAAATGAGCACATAATGAACATAATAATCGGAATTTAATGAACATAAATCATACTTTTCTTCATTTTATTTCAGTAGTATCAATATGTTTTGTATAATATGTTTTCATGCTATCATATCACTTTGACACTTTATGCATGACTTGAAAAAAATAAGTTTTTATTAAAAAAAATAATAATATTCTTCCTAAAAGTTATGTAAGAATCATAAATAAAGTAGTAAAATCATAATCTTCATCATAAATAGAGTACTTTTGTAAATACCAAATTGCGTCAAAAGTAATGTTACTTGACATACTATATTTATATAGGAAAATGTTAAATATTTATATCTATATTATCTAAATATTTTTGAATATATGTTTCATTATAATAAAAAGTTACTTACTCACGTTAAGTTACTAACTGGATGTACTTTTTTTCAAGTATTACTGTTTAAAAGAGGTTTGCTTTGATTTTATGCAAAGTAACGCAATAATGAGGAAAAAGGTGAATAAGAAAATTCAACAGAAGATAGATATGATAATTTAACAGTCGGCCGTCAAACTGACATTTATAAACACAGCCGTTGTTGAGAAAACAAAAGGAGATTGCGTAAGTGTAAAAACGTCTACCGCAAACACTAATAGTTACATTTTTCTATGAAAAAGAAGAAAGCTTTGGATATCGTGACCACATAAATCGGATTTTATTGTTATCTCTTATTTGTTAAAAAAATTTATATTAATGACGCAATTATATTGTAAGCAATCGGGTTTTCCAAATAATTACATAATTGATTAATTTTAAAAGTTGAAAATTAATAGATTTCATTTAAAAGTGACGAGACAAATTTTAGCATTATAAATAATCCTTTAATGATTTAAAAAGCATTTATAGGTTGTTTATTGTTTAAACTAGCTCAATTAATCGAAAGAAATTTTGCTGATGGAGCAAAAATCTATATCTTACTTATACGTAAAAATTTAAATAATTACATGTAAACAAATTTGCTAAATCCAAGGAGGAGTGTTTTAAGTTAAAAAAAAAACATATTGTTTTTCTATGAATTCGGAATTATTTTGGTTTGAGTTGGTTTGTATGAGAAACAAATTGCGGTGTTTATTTGGTAAGGAAAATTACATAAGAAAATTTTTATTTAAAGCAGCGCAAAATTTTTTTTATGTTAAAATATATTATTTTTTGCTTCTTTTTAGTTTAACTAAGTTGTTCTTGGAGCATCTCTAAGGTAAAAAATTATAAAATTTATCGGGTAATAAATTATTTAAACTATAATCATTAAAATGCTGGTGTAGATTATATCATTGTAAAAAGATAATTTATTAAAGGGTTCTCAAAAAACGGAAAATAATAAAATCTTAAAAACTGACAAACAACTAAATTACATCAAAATTTAATTAGATTAAACCTGTCCTCGAAATTTTAAACTTGTTGGATGCAAACATTCACCATGGATTTTCAAATAATTTATTTACTGCAAAGCATAAATAATGTTGAATTCATTCAATCAATTTCAAATCATTCAATTTCATTCACATAGCCATGGGGGATCAGGAGATGGAGCGTTCGCATTAGAATAACATGGATCAGGTTCAAATTCCAGTGATGGCAGGTTTCATCGACCACAGTTCCATTAAAAAGTTTGACCACGAAGGCAAAGTTTCTCCTGCTATTTGATCCAGGAGTTCCCTTACCTTCTGAATTGGATTCAAAATTACAAGGCTATGGAGTTGAACGATAGTAGTAGTAAGCACAAAAAATTGGGTCTGCTTAGCGACGGTAATAAAATAAAATAAAATTTCATTCACAAAAATATGCTGATTTTAATAATTTTAATTACACTTCTACAGTGGTTGGAATTGATAATAATCCATCGGGTGTTAAAAAGATTAAATTTTTTTGCAGCTTTAAGCAATCAATCTTAATGTCCGAATAATTTACTTTTTCGTAAGTTATTTTTGTAGGTTGAACATGGTTCCGTAAGTTGAACACTGTTTTTGGCAGTAAAAATCACACTACAATTCCACTTTTTGTAAAATAAATGCAACGCTTGTAAAATATGTATTCACTTTAATATTTATTTATGCCTTCAAATTATTATATCTTCATAGAATTCTAATGTTTTCATTCACCGTAATTTTAATGCGGCAAATTTAAAATGTTTCTTAAATATTTAGTTTACGCTTCGTTCTTTCTTGACATGATCGAAGAAAATCATCGACGTTTTAATGAGGCTTTTTAACAGCCAAATATTTCTCTTAATCCATATTGCACAACTATTTAGTTATTACACGAGCATAATAATTAAAAGTTTATAATGTAATTCCACTATACAAATAATTTCGAAACATTTGAATTGTCTTTTCTTACACGATGTGAAGAAAAATGAAAGTGATGAAGAAAAAGACAGAATAATAGCTTATGTATATTTTTAAGTATGTATATTTTTAAGGCGTTTAGCCTGAAAACTTTTAAGAGAAGATAAGTTCAAAGAAACCTAAAATATGACATCAATAGAAATGCAAGTTTAGAACACTTTTAGTGCAATTAAATGCTTTAATAACCGGCTAAATGACGTTTTAGTGAATTTGAGTAAATGAGTTCTAAAGTTCATACATTTCTTCCTTTTGTTTTTTTCGATTAATCTTTATGTTTTTAGTATATTTGTGAAGGCATAACTTACTAAATTTTTTTGGGTCTATTTATTTGATTTTAACTCTTTTATAAGGGGGTTTATAATGATTTATGTGCTTAGCATTTGCTTGCTTTTATGGACGGTTTTTAATATTTTTCATCGAATATAACTCTAATTGAAAAGGTAAAATAAACATACATATATTTAGGTTTACATTCATTGAATAAATTTTAACAACCTTAATTTGAAACAAACTGGCATCTAATTTTCTCTAGCTGTGTTAGTCCGAAAACCGATCAAACAAGATTCGGAGACAGGGTGAAGCTCAACTTTCACGGAGTAGATGTTTCATCGGTATGTCTTTTTAAAAATGTCACTTAACTGGTTCTTCCACTAAGCTCTTCAATTATCAAGGAACTTCTTTCGACTTAGATTTTTTTCAGAAAAATATCTAAAATTTTCTTATGATCAACTGAGATTACTTAATGCTTTTAAAAATCGAAGAAATTGTAGCAGCGAAATCGAAGAAATTATTTATGAATTAAAATGTTTCTCATTTCCGTTCAAGCCAGAGGCATTGGTAAATGATGAAAAATGAATAATACTATGAAGGCAAAGCATTTGGTATGCATTTTTAAATCATATTTTTATTCTTAAAAAGTATAACATCTTCGTTTGAGCTCCAGTTGCACTCAGTAATTTTTTCATTTTGTCTGAGATAGCATTTCTAATTAATCTAAAAATTGAAAACACGAGTTTTAGTTGCGGAATCGTAGAAATTATTTATGAATTAAAATATTCCTCATTTCCGTTCAGGCTAGTGACATCAGTAAATGATGTTAAGCAAATAATACTCAAGTAGTTGTATGGATGTTAAATCACGTTTTCATTCTTGAAAGCAATAATATATTGGTTTGAACTCTAGTTAAAATGAGTATTTTTTTTATATTGTCTGAGATAGAATTTCTAATTAATCGGAAAATTAAAAACATGAGTTTATAATGACGAATAGGAATGTTCCACGAAAAATGGATACTTAACAGTACATATCCTCATACACTGTTAGAAATTTCCCGGAAAAAAAGCTAAATAACGATCTGACATTTTACCATATTTAAACAAAACAGTCGAATAACCATAAATAAGATGGTACTAAAACCATTAACAATCAGAAAAATCGTTTATTAACTATTTTTTTTACCTAAAACGGTTAAATAACACGAATTTTGATGCACCAACTAAGCTCACCTAATAAAGCAACTTAGTTCTCAGCAACTACGTACATATTAAAGCAGCAGGAGCTAATCTGTCAATCTCTTGACCGACAGAAGGGGGGAAAGGTGGGTTCGAGTCTCAGCAATGACACCTCCATTCCCTTTAACACACATGCAGAATTTCCAGTGTCCTGCACTCTTCAATGTCCATTATCTAACGAGAAACCTAGCTTTTATGTCCAGTTAAATTTCTTAATGGTTTTGAAACCATGGTAGCTGTAAATAGTTAAAAATCCATATAATTTTGCATTCATGATTTTATAACCATACTAGTCGTATACGGTTTGAAAACCATAAAGGTGAAACATATTCTTTACCGTAAACTTTACATTCAATAGGATGGACAGACTGCTGCCGGTTGTTTTACCATAATTTTAGAATGAAAATTCCAACAGTGTGGTGTAAAATCAAAAAGTTTAATGAAACTAATACAATAAAAATTGTAACAATAAAAAATATTCACCAAGCATAATTAAGGTGATTTTCATAAGGTGATTCAAGCATGATTCGGTTTGTAAATAGTTGGCAGGTGATAAGAATAAATGAAGACCATTTTGTTAAGTCTAAACATTGCAGCGCTATTGTGATCATTCTGGAATTTAATATAATATTTAAGGGATATAATTAATGATTTAGAAAGACAATTTATTTATGGAATTCATTTTCCATGGAAGCGTTTGCACCGAAAAAATATTTAATGGATTATATTTATTGACTTACTGTTAGGCTGGTGGAGGTAAAATGTCGTCAAAAATGTTTATAAAATTATTCTGCTACTATTTCGACTAAATTTACTAAATTTATTTCGATTTTTTTTAACCCTGGAAAAAGTGAAAGTTTACGAAAAATTAAATTACATGATTTATCTTTCAGTGTTATTTTACGTGCATCATTAAATCTTTATTATTGTTGTCTCTGAGTACTTTCTTTGATTTTTATATGTATTTTTTGTATTTATATGATGTTTTTTCCCACATAATACATTTCAAGTTAAATTTGCATACATCCACATAGCTTTAGGTTACTTAGTAATATCATGTACCAACTTGATAGAATATTATGGATACTACCAACCATTGGAATTCCCCAGGTCAACTCGTCAACAGTGGTACTTATTAATAGATTTATACACTTAGTTTCAGCAATTTTTTTTAAAGCCTTTAATATTTGTTATTTAACATAGCGATGGCCTATTCCCTTTTAATTTGCACATTTCTTACATCAATGGAACATCGGAAATCATCAAATATCATCAAAAATCATTAAAAAATTTCTTTCGCTCTTGGAACATCTGTTCTTAATTATCCTAATAATCTTTCGGAAATGGGCCTCTTTGGAGACTCGGTCAAGACTCACCCTCGCCACTTATTACTTTATTTTCTCATAAATCTTTATTTTGACTCCTATAACTTGTCCATCTCCTTGTAAACAACCAAGTACTTTCTTCTGGAACTTGAACAAACGAAACAGATTTCCAAAGCTAAACAACTCTAAGCAATCTCATCGGACAATCGCTCTGGATAACACTCCACGACTTCATGGTAGAAGGGAGTCCCCACTGCACACTTCAAATGCTAGTGTTCCACTTCCTAGTAATCTAAGAGGCTCATCGAGAACTCGTAGCTTTTCTCCAGTCTGCAGAGACCAAATAGAGGCAAAAGGCATCAGTGCTACACCAACATCTTCCAACATGAACACAGTAAGCACTATAATTGATCAACAAACACCAGAGAACAATTATGGCAGATCTAGACCGCCTCTCATTAACACGTCTCAAAAGTTATCTCCCTTCAGCTCACAATTCGGCTGAGTCTCCTTTTAAGCAAGCTGTAAGAATCAGCCAAAGTCTTCAAAGTCCACAAAACAGCAAACTAGCAGGCTTACCCTGAACTGGCCATCATTCTGCAATTCACATAGAACAAACAGAAGCAAAACGCGTTAGCGAAACACAAACATCCTCTTCATCCCAAATATCGGCTAAATTGCCATTTATTCCTTTTCAAGATAATTCACCTATTCAGGCCGATCTATTATCTATGACACAACAATCAGTGCTGAATAGTCCTGCAAATTTTCTACCACGGGCTAATTTATCCCCACTCAGCGAAACAATCCACAACGTTCTAAACACAAACATCGATCATGAGTTTACCTATCCATCTTCCCCATTACCGACAACGGCCAACACTACTGTTCCATCTGCTTCAATTTTGCCAACTCCTGACAATTCTCACGAATTAGACACATTAATCAGCATAATCGTTAAAAATGTAGAGAGCAAATATGGTGATAAGTTCAAACTCTCAATTACTCAGAGACAAGCTTGCAATGAGGCAATCCAAAAAATTAAAACCTTGNATATAAGTAAAAGCATATTAAAGAAAAAAATTAATGAAAAAAAATTAATAAAATAAAAAAGACATGGTGGCTTTTGCAACCCTCTAATATAAGGTAAATAAGGAAAACTGTTAAAACTTGGATTTGCTTTATGTCAGTTGGTACAGTGTAAGCAAAAAACTAAAATAAACATATGGGCCCATTAGTTAGTTAAAATTAAAGTTTAAAAAGTATATTTCGTAACATCTCTTTTTATGTTTCAAATGCATAATTTATGTAAAATATTTCAATATGTTTCATTTAATGATAGAATTTTAGCTGAGGTTAGTTAGAATTTTAGTTTAGTGAGTAGATTAAAGAGAAACGTATAGTGTCCCTTACTGTTTATTTCAGAATGTACTGTACCGACAGTGCCTGTGATATTATTATCCATAATTTTGTGGTAGAAGTTTTGCTGCCTTAGTTACTATGCGCAGAAAACAAAACACCAGTAACTTCAAAAGTATAGAAAAATAACATAAACGAAAATATAATTTATGAAGTGAACAAAACCTGGTAGTATTGTCTCAGATAATCTGAGAAACATGTTTATACATTGCTAAATATAAAAACCTGACTTAAAATATGTGCTTAAAATTTTCAATAACACTAATAACCTAAAAATTTACAAAGAAACACAAAACTGCTTAAACTAGCTTACGAAATTTAAATCAAAACTTTCAGATATGCAAGAAAATCTGGATCGAATTACGGTACAAAGTGAAGGCAGTGTCAGTATTTTTAACTATAAAATCCATTTGTGGCTTAAAATTTTACGCAACGAAAAATCTGATATACTGTAATTATGTAGTTACATTTCCTGTAAAATTTATGAGTCACATTAATTAATTGATTATTAATGTAAAAATTACAATATAACATTTTACGGTAAAAATGAAATTTATTGATGCTGCACTCAGGGTGTCATCGCTTTTTACCATAATTTTATATCTCATTTCGTACATGCGTACTGACTTAAATCACTTTGGGAGGATAATATTTATAAACGATAGAAAAGTTCTACAGATCCCATAAAGGTTTCATTGATTTGGTGATTTTATTATATCCTGGTAATGCCTAGTAAAGACAGTTGATTGTCACCAATTTTAATTTCTAATTTTAAATTTTTTTTTATTTCCAATTTTATTTTCTTTGGTTATAATTAAATCACTAGACTTTTATTTTATAACAAATTTAAATATTTGAATAGAATAAAAATATTTCTGCAGAGACCAATTGGAATTACAGAAATGCTTTATCATTACAATAAAGATATGGAGGTATTTTCAGAACATTAAACAATTTTAATATGTTTCAGAGAGATTTGAAACATTTCTTAAAAATATCCTTGGAATTTTTGGCACTTTTGTGCAGAAAAAAACTATGGAAATATTATTTGAAATGTAATTTTGTTTAAATAATTCTAAGAAATTATCGAATAATCTTGAAAAGAAAATAAGTAATTGAGTTTAATAATCTAATGATATATAACAAATATAACAAATTACGAAAAACGATATATAACAAATCCAAAATTATTGTTGAAATGAATTTCATATTAAAATTAGTTTGAAATACAGAATGTTTTAATTTCTTATTATTTGTCAGCTGTTAGGAGAGAATATATTTTTCTATACAATTCCCTATAATTACTTCTAGTTGAAATTGCTTTTTTTACAACCTTTATTTCCTTTTTCCTGAATTTACCAGATGTTTATCAAATTTCTGAATCTGTGACGAAAAATTGCTTCTATTCTGAGAAAGTACAATCACAATGAGAAAATTTTTTTCTTTAACTACCAATATATTTCTGGCACTTTGTGAACAGCGTGTGAGCTCTTTGCGTATGTCTTGGTCTATGGGAACACCAAAATCAACAAAGTAGTGTGTTCAAAGAGCTTTTTCCAGCAAACCTTTATCATACGAATAGAAAAGTACTAAATGAATGGTTTGCATACCGTATATTTGTTTTGATTACAAGAGTTATGATTTTACATACTAGGAATATCATTACAGTACAATTCCGGTAATTTTATCAAACTTCTCTTCTCCGTGCCGAAGTACACTTATCACAAATAAAATGTTTGCTCTTCTTGAACTTTTTAAGTACAAGTTACTACGTGAGCGTCTTTTTTAGTTTGATTAAAATTTTTTGGAGCTTAAAATGATTATATTTATTTATTTACGACTGCGCAGTGCTGTTGGTAATTGTTAAAATAGGCGAAATTACAACATCACTACTAATATTTAGATGTTTTTTAAATTTTTTAATTTTTTTTATGGCGCTTACTGACCTTATCACTCTTCGTAAGGGTAGATGCCGTAAGTGTTGCTCATTTTGCGTTGCCTGGTGAGCACCTTGTGTCCAAAGTCATGGAACATTACTAACCCACGCGGCCACAGATACCCATTCATAGGGTGGGTAACATTCACAGACCACACACAACGGAGGACAACACTGAGAGAAACATGTCCTGAGCAGGATTCGAACCCTCTGCTATTGGCTTTGCAGTAAGCTAGGCTAACCACTTGGCCATCTGGCAGGCCCATTTAAATGTAACACTGTCGAACTTTAACAAAAAATTTAGAGCTTTACATGAAGCTGATGTATTATCGTTACAATATAGTAATTTTCAATATAAATAAATACATTGCCGCTCCAAAAAGATTACGCTTTTAACTAAACTGTTAGGCACTACTCAATGCAAGGGTACGATTATCTCATTAGCCATATTAATTAATTTTCTTTTTTAAACCGGAAAGAGATATTTTAAAGTAAAATAGTTTAACAAAGCGTTAACAGAAAAAAGAACAATTTATTTAATCTGAAAACGAAATTCGTTTGAAATTCTAAGAAGCCCTTTACCAGAAATTTTCCTGCAGAACGGGCAGCAGTTGCATCCTATTCCCATCGTTAAAACTTCATCTCCTGCACATTGTGGTATCGAACAATCTTCCACTCTGCAAGGACCATCATGGCAGATTGTGGATGCTGAGAAATGGACAAGTGCCATGAAAAGAATTAATTTAATCAGACCCATTTTCTTCTTCTTTTATTCTGAAAGAAAATAAAATACATAGTTCTGCTTAATTGTGTTGGCAACATAAATTTTTCAGGAAAGATACGCTTTCTAGCTTCTAAAACATTAGCGTATAGGCTCCAAACCTCTTTTTCTTGCATCACGGTTGCTTTGAAAAATAAAGTCTTTTCTGTGGTATTTGATTTGAGAAAAAGAGCTATGTACGTCATAATTGCAAGCGAAAAAAGTATAACAGAAATTTTTAAAATGAAATAAATAAAAAGCTTACAAGAATAATGAACAAAATAATTATATCTACAATATTTAAAGTTTGTTAAAGAGCTGTGAAGGATCAGGGGCGAGAGCGTTCGTCTTCCAATGAGGTGAACTGGGTTCGAATCCTGGCGATTGCTGGTCGATACAAATCAAGAACTCTGCTCTCACCGACCACAGAATGCTGACGTAAAATATATCCTCAGTGGTAGACGGATCATGGGTTCGAGTCCCCTTACCGTCAGGCTAACCGTGGGAGGTTTTCGAGGCTTTCTTCTCAACGTAACGCAAATGCGGGTTAGTTCAATAAAAAAGTCCTCTACGAAGGCAAATTTCTCTCAATACTTGCTGAAGGAATTCCTTTGTTTGGTGGATTGGGTCAAAATTACAAAGCTACGGAGTTGAACATTAGTAAACACAACCCCCTTAAAAATTGGGTCGTCTGTACAACGACGGTTATAAAATGGATTACCTTACTATTAAAAAAGAATTTTAATGGGTAAATTAAAGAAAGACAAGTTGAAAAAATTAAAAGTAAAAATTAAATTACAAGCAACATTAGAGTTGAACAAACATTTATTGTTTAATAGTTTAATATTGAGGTTGTAGATAAGAATGGGCTGAAAGTCCCTGCTGATTTTTATTTTTTCCAATCTCGTTTGAAATCTCTTAGAAGAATTGGTGCTCATATGGTATAAGATGGAAAATAAATTTCTTGAAGTCATTTTTTCTCTATAAAAATCAGCTTTAAACTTAAATTAAAATAATTTTTTTTATCTATCTAATATAATTTACAGATTATTAAGAAGTAGAGTAAAGGCAATTAAAATTAAATAATACTATGTCTTTCCTCAAGTAAAGAAAGTTAATAGTTCGCATTAAAAATTCCCAATTCCTGTCATAACAACACAATTTCTTAAACATTGACTGAAATTAATAATAATTAAGTAAATAATAAATTAAGTAAATATAATTAAGTAAATATAATTAAGTAAAATTAATACACATAATAACTTGAATAAATAACTTCTTTTTTTAAAATTTCTATAGCGCTTATGTTGAATGGAATTAAACATTATTATAATTTTCCTTAAGTGAAAAAAGTTGATAAATCGCATATAAAAATTTCTATTTTCTGGCCTAAAACCACAATTGTTTAAACAATAAGTAAAATTAAAGCGTTCTTTAATTGCATCCAAGCATAATAAAAACTGAATAAATTACTTACATATTTTTAAGTATCTCTCACAATTATGTTGTTTCAAACTCTTCACAAAATTTATGTTTATTAAAATACACAAAGTAACTAAAACGGCGTTTAAAAGTTCAATAATTCGCCCTTGGAATTGATCCACACTTCCTGTCTGGCAAATATCCTGTTAATGAGGAAACTTTAATGGGAAGTAAAGATAAAATTGCAATAAAAATTTGATATGAATTTAAAAGAAATATAAATGATTTATTACTGCTTAAGCGTTTCATAAAATGGATTTATAAATGAATGATTTTTTTCAAAATCAATGTTTTCTATGTTGTTATTTATATTGTTATTCATTCCCTTTTTTCAGTATTAAAATATCAAAGAATTATTTTTTGCTGTAAAACTGGTATAAAATAATTGCTTTTTCCCATGAAATGATTCGGCATAAATCTGTTAAAAAAGGACGTCAAAAATTGACAAATCACGATGAGTAAATTCGGGATCTCAAAGACAACTCTTTACCTCAACGCTACGCACAGGGAATACCGCGAAAAGTGCTACCTAAAATAAAAAATATGAAGAAAAAAAAATCAGTGCCAAAGGCGATTAAATCGTAAATTTGGCGAATAAAATTGTGTTTTAGCGAAAGTATTGGCCGATGTTTTTTTTCCACTGGAAAGAAAAGCATATATAAAAAATTTTAAGATTTGCATTTGGGGAAAACTTTTTCTCACATCCCTTTGATTAATCAGACAATAAAAAATATCAGTGATTATTAATTGATTATTATGTTTTGTGGTTGATTTGCGAAATAAATTTAACAGGATACATAGGCACCGGAGAAAATTTGAGATTGATTAGAATATTATAACTAAAAATTCCTTTTTTTATTTTTTCTGTAAATATCCTAAAATATTTTAAAATTTATCAAGAGGTTGATAGATGTGAAGATTATAGGTTTCGAGTTTTTAATTCTAAAGTGCAAGCTAATATTATCGAACTTTTATCATGTTCATCAAAATTGTTATCACTTTTTAAATTTTCCGTGGTGCGTATGAAAGGTTTTTAACGATCTCTTTTAACGTAAGAGTGTCGGTATTTCTTGTTAAATATAAAAGGGAATTATTAACTAGGTGAATAAATTTTAGGTGAATAAATTTTCGCAAGCATGAAGGATTTTGAATACAAGTATACAACTATAGAGAATTTTGATAGCTTTATAAAAAGTTTTTGATTAAGTTTCTTATTAATATTAATAGCCTCAAACAAATATCCTTTGACACTTCTTTTTTTTCCTGCAACGCAATAGAATTTGGAATTTTATCTTCCGACTTCTCTAATAGAGATTTGTCATATTAAGATAATTTTTGTGATGTTTTTATTCTAGCTTAAATATTATTTTGATTACTTCCATGTTCAGTGAGCTGGAAAAAAAACTGACCCTCTTGATCTAATGATCAAATCTTTGCGTTCTAAGACTCTATCTTAATGGCTCTAGGAGGAAAGAATTCAAATATGCTAATTATTAAGCGCAGTCGATATTTTAAGTTACGAAATCAGACACGAAAATGTACTTTCTCTGAATGCACGTACCTTTTTTTTTTCAATGGATTCAGATTTCTGATCCCCAAAATATATGGGGGTAGGAGCAATCTAGGAAATATGGTGCCAATCAGGGCCAGATTAACCTCTAAAAATAGGGGAAACATAATAGGATTTTGGGGCCCCCCTAACTTGAGCAAAAGAAACTTTTGATATTTTTCACCTATAAACAATGCATTTTAAAGAGGCAAGAACCATGTGAAAACTATTGGAACCTTAGAAAAGAATACAGAGATCTTATGCAATCATGTCGGACCCTTCTTTAGGTATTTCTTTTGCAAAAAATAAGAAATTGGCCCCTTAATTTCAGTCATTTGGGGCCCCCCCTAGAATTTTACTGGGGAAGCACTTGCTTCCTGTGCCTTTTCGGTAATCAGGCCCTGGTGCCAATAGATTGATCAGGAGAGCTCCCCAAAGTTTGAACCCCCTCATGTTAATTTTACTTTTTGCGTATTTCGCTATATCTCGAGAACTATACAAGCGAATTAAAAAAATCTTGCACACAATTATAAAACTGGTTTATACAAAGAATATTTCATGCAAAAAATAACTTTTAGATAATATTTATTATTTTTTTTATTAATTTATTTAATAATGGTCGATAAATGTTTATTGCAAGGTCTACGATTTCTTGCATCATTTAAAAATATGTAATTTTGAATGGCAAAAAATGAATCGGTAATTCCTGAGAAATTGAATTTCAAAGAAGTCACATGATTAAATTTCGATTTATCAGAAACTATTCCAACGATTTTGCTCAAATTTCGTATTCTGCATTACAAAATTATGTTCTTTTAAATGGTGCAAAAATTTGCATTCCTTAATATTCAACATATTTTCCACTACTATTAAATGAAATATTAAAAAAATAATAAATATTTAATGAAAAATAATTTTTTCCAAGGAATTTTTTGATAAACGAACTTTATTATAGTGTTAAATCGTTCGACAAGACTGGGAATTATTGTCTATTCTCTAATTGAGATCAATTAATTAAAGCTTTTGGGAATTGCATTTATTTGAAAAAAATTACATTGTCACTTTGTATAAGTTTGTAATTGGCCTTTACATTCTGTAGTCACTCATCTTTGTCATGAAAGCAAAGGAATCACATATTTTCATCTTAGGAACAAAATAGTAATGAAAATAGAAAAAAGAAGTTAGAAATTTATTGTGCTGTGTCACCATTACAATTTGTTAATCAACATACTGCTTACTCGTTAAATGAAAACATTTGTATTCAGTTAAGCTCATCATGAGAGCATTTATAATAAATTAATTAAAGGAAGTAACAGTTAACAACTCTAATGTCTATCATGTACTTTAGCAATGGAAATAATCTAAAATAATTTAGCTACAGTATGTAAAGGAACATCAACTACACATGCTTTTATTATTGTATTATTGGAAAATTCGAGTTAATCAATAAATTAATAAATGATATTTTGAGATTTTTTTTCTTCACACGACTTCTTGTGTTTGACTTTGAGGCATCTCATCGCAAAGTTTAGTTTCGATGTTACAAAATAATCCTTTTGCGCATTCAAATCCATCAGGTAAACCAATAAGAGGTGCGAAACAAAGGTCCCCTTTATCTGAAATAGAAAATAACAAATATAATTCTATAGAATATTTCTCATTTCAGTATGCAAGGTGCTCATTTATAACTCATACACCCTTCTTATTTCCCAACAACTTAAGTCTTTTGAAACATGTCTAGGTATGATGAAGTGACTATGAGATTCTAAATACTCTTTATGGCACCACTTAACCACCAAACTCAAAAACAGAACTACCATGAATGGTACGTGATAGAAGAAAAGAAAACAATTATGTAGTTGTAGAGAATTGGGTAACTGTAATTCGAGAAGAAGAAGACCGCTGAAATCATCTGCACTGCAAAAAAAATCCCGAATCTTTTCTGAATATATTGAGCAGCTTTGGTGCATGTAGTTTTCAAAAACATTTCTAAATATTTCGAAAGCCTCTTTTGGTTACCAACAACGTCAACCGCTATCTATCAAAAGATATCTCAAAATAGAATCGAGTTAGCATGTCTAATATACTAGTGAATTTGAATTTAATAGCCAACGTTACATTAGCAGTTATCGAACCTGATTGACTGATGAATCGCAACATAAACTAATGCCATGATTCAGCTATCAATCAGGTTTGGCAGATACCCGATTCGCAATTTGCAAGGAACTGTAAGCATTCATAGCAATATTGTCGGGAGCAAACTTTTGTAAGTTTTTGGATAATAACATAAATAACAACGTAGAAAACATTGATTTTGAAAAAAATCATTCATTTATAAATCCATTTCATAAAACGTTTTATATTACATTATAAAAAAACGTTTTATATTACATTATAAAAAAAACGTTTTATATTACATTATAAAAAAATCCATTTTTTAACGTGCTACGTTAGGAATACCTTTTAAACTGTGATTAAAATGGCTTGTTTTTAAATAAATAGTGGATATAACCGACGTCGTCATAAGATTTTCTCTGAAGAGAATGTACTAACTGTCACTTAGTAACTTCTAAGATTACTGTTTAATTAGTTTGAAAATTTAACTACATATAAGGTATTGTTGCAGCTTTTTCTGAAAATCAATTTTTTCAAACATATTTTTGGCAAAATATTGGCATACAAATTGAAACATACTTTCAAATGTCTAGTTTTTCAATTTGTCAATCTATAGATATAAATGCTACGACGTCCTATTTTCAAATCGCACTATCCTGGAAACAAAATGATCTTATTTTTTGTTTATTGAATAAGAATTTTAAATCACTTACAAGGAAAACATTTGCACAGAAATTTGTCATTTATGCTTTACTATCATTTATACATAACAATTGCGTTTCGGTAAAATACGTTGTTATCCTTATCATCTATAGGCGTTTTCCAAACTACTTTTAAGAAAAAGTTATCAGCAATAAGTAACGTTTTAAAGATAAAAAAAAACTTACATAAATCCAAGGCGCAAGTGTCACAGCACCCACAGAAGTCCCCTTTCTCTTTAACATGTTCATTTTCAGCACATCGGACTGACGGGCAATCAAAACTCTTACAAAAGTCCGGTGGGCATCGGACACGGCTTCGACGTGTTGGTAATGCGTTCAGATAAGAAATCAGAAGCATTAGAAGTAATACTTTAAACAGGTTGTAAGACATTATAAAGCTCTTCCTACTGAAAAACAACATTTTTTAAAATTGTCAAGAAAACAATAAGAATTTTTTAACGGAACTATAAGTTAAGTGTTTTTTACTTATCAGGTTTTCTTGTTTTAATAAACACATTTATATAAATAGAATAGCAAAAATGTATATGTATTAAGTCTATTTCGTTAATTGAATTTTATGCTTTCGTATTTTTTAAGATTCTAGAATAAACAACTTACTTTGCTATTACAATATTTACTTACAAGAATGGATATAAGCTTATAAAAATACTTCAGAAACAGTAATGTTATGAAGCGAAGAAAAATAAAATATTTTGTAAATTAAGTGTTTCTTACTTATCAGGGTTTCTTTTTTTCATAAATACACTTATATAAATTGAATATCACAAATGTATACATATTAAGTCAATTTGTTAATTGAGTTTTATGCTTTCGTATTTTTTAAGATTCTAGAATAAACAACTTACTTTGCTATTGCAATATTTACTTACAAGAATGGATATAAGCTTATAAAAAAAACTTCAGAAACAGTAATGTTATGAAGTGAAGAAAAATAAAATATTTTGTAAATTAAGTGTTTTTTACTTATCAGGGTTTCTTTTTTTCATAAATACACTTACATAAATTGAATAGCACAAATATATATATTTAAGTCTATATTGCTAATTGAGTTTTATGTTTTCGTATTATTTAAGATTTTGGAATAAACAGCTTACTTTGTTATTTAAATATTTACTTATATGATTAAATATCAGCGCATAAAAATACTTCAGAAGCAGCAATGTTATCAATTGAAGAAAAATAATATTTTCTGTAAATTAAGTATGTTTTACTTATCAGGTTTTCTTGTTTTCATAAACACTCTTACATAAATTGAATATCACAAATATATACATTTAAATCTATTTTATTAATTGAGTTTTATGTTTTCGTATTTTTAAGATTCTAAAATAAACAACTTACTTTACTATTATATTGATACTTCAGAAACAGTTATGTTATCAAGTGAAGAAAAATAACATAGAAAAATAGAAACTGCAGTTTAGGACCTTTGAACATTAGTATGCCTCGTAGGGCTAACAGCGCTGTCATTAATTAATGAAAATCATGGGGTTAAAAAGTGATAACCAACGTGGTAAAAGAAATCGTATCCAAATCGCAAATAATCATATCCAACAAGACTCTTTCGAGAGACGGTAACATATTACTGGTTCACTTTTATGAAGATATTTCGCGTCATTTTAATATGGTAAAAAAAATCTATTTCTAAACTGAAAACAAAATATTGGTTATCACTCCTTCGTTAAACCCGAAATTTACGAACATTGTATGGATTAAGTATCTATACGTACAGTAATCACTGAATAACTTTTTTCATCAACATCCTATAACTCGATTGACATATAACTGTGTTACTTTGATTCGTTGAGGATTTTAGAAGTAAGAAACACTATTTATTACTCTTTGGAACTCTAAAGATAATATCGTTACCACTCTGTATTATAGAACCTTAATTGAAAAACGAAATACAAATAAAGATTAACATCTGTAAGTTTGATGCATTTTAGCTCATGATGTTATTTTATGATTTGTTTCATACAAGTGATTAAATGTTCATAGATTATATAATTGAGTATTGTTTTCCTCGTATTGTTCTGAGCAAATAGGATTTTATTTTTCGCCCTACGCACAATTGATTTTAAGCTTTAATGCAAAGGTTTAAATTGGCAAAGAAATGAGAAATAAAAGGAGCTAGTGTTAAATTCTTAATATTTAATGCACGTATTTAATTTTCCACCAGGGAATTTTCATTTTACTAGACAATATTAGTGACTATTATGATCTCAATTTTGCATGTTTCGGACTAAATTAAATTTAAAAAAAATGTGATTATGACGTTTTTAGACACGTAATGTTTTCTGCAAAATTTTCACCAATGTGGAACTCATATGAAACCAGTCTTATATATATGAAACCGGTCTTACATATGAAACCAGCTTCAAATGAAGTCTGCTTAGAGAAGAATTACTACAAATTTGTAAATCGTTTTTTAAGCGATCCTATAATCAGCAAAATTGGCTGATTGTAGGATAGGATTATAGAATAGACTTCATTAATTAAATTAAGGAAGAAAAAAAAACATGAAAAGATGTGAGAAATGTCATTGCTATAAAAACTATCACATTGTTTTTTCTGCACTTTTCAAAGCAAATTTTATTAACTGCGATTTTAGCCTCACCTATACAATCAATTTTTCGTGTTTTTTTAGAATTTTCCATTTACTAGTCATACATTAACAATTCAGAAAAAAGACGTTAATTTTTTTCATATGAAACTGGTTTCAAATGGGTTTTGCGATATAAAAAAGAATCATAATTTGTCCACCACAATATGCATTCGACTTCACAAACAAAACTATAAAACTTCGCAAGGTATCTAACTATCTAGAAGCTTCGCATGATATCTAAACAAAGTGCGCAAATGGATGGTTCACAGAATGTAAACAATAACAAGCTTCCTATAACCAGAAGAAAGTTAGAAAACAGTGTATTCCTCCGCCATGTTATGCTTACCAGCATACGTGTGAACAGGCTAAATATTCTAGCAAGTTTTATAATTTTGGTTTGTGTTTTCTCATTCATAAGAGTAATTTTCTCATTCATAAGAGTTTTCCGCAATTTATTAATTCTAGCAGATCATGAACCTAAAACAAATTTATCAAAATTAATATTACAGCATAAATAATGTGTAAGGTTAGCCATGTTTTGAGTGTTGTCCCTTATTTGGCTATATTTGTGTAAGAAGCAGCATTGGCTATTTTTTGGATAATATCACAGCGAGCTTCCTGAGTCTTCCGAGTTCATTTCTTGTTTATTTTCTTGAAAGATATATTGAAATAAAGCGTTATATTGAAAACATTGCAAGTATAATAACATTAAATGGTTTGTTTTTTCAAGCTTACGCGTAAAAATGTGTTGGATGTAGTATAACGGAAGTCTTGCGACAAAACTCCTATCGTCATCTGCTCTTAGCATTACACCATTAACCATCCAAATTGCATTTTCGAAAGCAAAAATTATTTATGTATGGTATGAAAGAGCGTGAAGTTGATGTAAAATTTTACCATTATAAGAGTTTTCGATTTACTTATTACTAGAGTACCCGATTTGGTGTTTGTAGAGGCTGTTGGTTGCGTCAGCTCAGATTGCATGAAAAACTGAGGTAGAAGGATCGAGGATGGGAACGAAGATCGAAGGTAGGAGGACGAACCGAAATAGTTCCTGCGCGGATGAATACCGGCGGAGGAGCATCAACCGGCGGCCAAGGCAGGGAGTGAAAAGGCTGAANTTTGAACATTAGTATGCCTCGTAGGGCTAACAGCGCTGTCATTAATTAATGAAAATCATGGGGTTAAAAAGTGATAACCAACGTGGTAAAAGAAATCGTATCCAAATCGCAAATAATCATATCCAACAAGACTCTTTCGAGAGACGGTAACATATTACTGGTTCACTTTTATGAAGATATTTCGCGTCATTTTAATATGGTAAAAAAAATCTATTTCTAAACTGAAAACAAAATATTGGTTATCACTCCTTCGTTAAACCCGAAATTTACGAACATTGTATGGATTAAGTATCTATACGTACAGTAATCACTGAATAACTTTTTTCATCAACATCCTATAACTCGATTGACATATAACTGTGTTACTTTGATTCGTTGAGGATTTTAGAAGTAAGAAACACTATTTATTACTCTTTGGAACTCTAAAGATAATATCATTACCACTCTGTATTATAGAACCTTAATTGAAAAACGAAATACAAATAAAGATTAACATCTATAAGTTTGAAGTATTTTAGCTCGTGATGTTATTTTATGATTGGTTTCATACAAGTGGTTAAATGTTCATAGATTATATTCATTGAGTATTGTTTTCCTCGTATTGTTCTGAGCAAATAGGATTTTATTTTTCGCCTTGCGCACAATTGATTTTAAGCTTTAATGCAAAGATTTAAATTGGCAAAGAAATGAGAAATAAAAGGAGCTAGTGTTAAAATCTTAATATTTAATGCACGTATTTAATTTTCCACCAGGGAATTTACATTTTGCTAGACAATGTTAGTGACTATTATGATCTCAATTTTGCATGTTTTGGACTAAATTAAATTTAAAAAAATATGTGATTTTGACGTTTTTAGACACATAATGTTTTCTGCAAAATTTTCACCAATTTGGAACACATATGAAACCAGTCTTACATATATGAAACCGGTCTTACATATGAAACCAGCTTCAAATGAAGTCTGCTTAGCGAAGAATTACTACAAATTTGTAAATCGTTTTTTAAGCGATCCTATAATCACCAAAATTGGCTGATTGTAGGATAGGATTATAGAATAGACTTCATTAACTAAATTAAGAAAGAAAAAAAAGCAGGAATAGGATGTGAGAAATATTATTACTGTAAAAACTGTCACATTGGTTTTTCTGCACTTTTCAAAGCAAATTTTATTAACTGCGATTTTAGCCTAACCTATACAATCAATTTTTCGTGTTTTTTTCGAATTTTCCATTTACTAGTGATACATTAACAATTCAGAAAAAAGACGCTAATTTTTTTCATATAAAACTGGTTTCAAATGAGTTTTGTGATATAAAAAAAATTATAATTTGTCTACCAGAAAATGCATAATAATTCGACTTCACAAACAAAACTAAAAAAACTTCGTAAGGTATCTAACTATCTAGAAGTTTCGCATGATATCTAAACAAAGTGCGCAAGTGGATGGTTCACGGAATGTAAACAATAACAAGCTTCCTATAACCAGAAGAAAGTTAGATAACTTCCGGTGTATTCCTCCGCCATGTTATGCTTACGTGTGCACAGGCTTAATATTCTAGCAAGTTTTACAATTTTGGTTTGTGTTTAAATTTAAGAGTAATTTTCTCATTCATAAGAGTTTTCTGTAATTTATTAATTCTAGCAGATCATGAGCCTAAAACTAATTTATCAAAATTAATATCACAACATAAAAAAGTGTAATTTTAGCCATGTTTTGAGTGTTATCCCTTATTTGGCTATATTTGTCTAAAATAACACCATTGGTTTTTTTTGGGGGTAGCATCATAGCGAGCTTTCTGAGTCTTCCGAGTTCATTTCTTGTTTGTTTCCTTGAAAGTTATATTGAAATACAGAGTTATATTAAAAATATTACAAGTATAATAACATTAAATGGTGTGTTTTTTCAAGCTTAGACGTAAAAATCAGTTGGATGTGATAACGCGGAAGTCTTGCGACGAAACTCCCATCGTCATCTGCGTTTAGCATTACGCGATTAACCATCCAAATTGCGTTTTCGAAAGCAAAAATTATTTATGGTATGAAAGTGCGTGAACTTGTTGCAAAATGTTATCATTATATGAGTTTTCGATTTACTTATATACTTTCAATTGTATAATAAAGCTCGAATTGGTGTTAACTTGAAAAATATGTGTTCCCTGGAGGAATTTTTTCGGTTGCTCAACATCAAATTCGGAAGGATAATACACCACGAATTTTACAGTGTACACTTTAAGAATTCTAAGGCATTTGAAATAAATTTCTGTAAATTTGTTGTAAGCATTTAATTCGGATAAACAAATAACTTAATCGGATTACATTTCAAGTACTTACAGCATTCACTGTAAAATATTCCGGATCGAATTACGGTGTGTAACGACACTTTGTGTGTATCTTTTGTATTCTATCCATTTAAGTATAAATCGATTTTACGGTAAAATCCCTTTTTACCGTAAAATATTGTATTGCAATTTTTACGGTAATATTTCTTTAATTCGAGTGATTCATAGATTTTACGGTATTTATTGCTGTAAAAATTTAAGATACATCTGATTTTCGTTACATAACATGTAAAAGAATAAACTCTGAGCGCCGGTATTTTCCTCATAATTAGATTTTGCATATTTTACGATTTTAAAACTTCGAATACGATGGCAGATGTGAAGAAATAGAATATTTCGTTACCAAGTTAAGTATTTCTACTGCAATATTTAATCTCTTTTCTCAAAGAGCGAGACCCCATATTTAATGTCGCTGATATAAATTTTTTAATTTTAGTATAAAATGTTGTACTGTAACGTAGATGTATCTTAAATAACGCATATTAAATTTTTATCGAAGGCTATTAAAAGTTAATTTTCGTCAAGAAGCAATAAATAGTTTTAGTAGGCACAGGGATTTGAGCGAAGCGAGTAGACGAAAAAAAAAAGGCAAAAAGTACCGGCACTCACGGTGCGGGTACATTTTACCAGAACATGTTACTGAACAAAAACTTCTGATGTACCGTGATTTTTACAGTAAAAATTATAACAAATCACTGAATCACTCCAACTAAATAAATACTGCTGTTAAAATGTCGGTATAATACTTTAGGGGAAAAATTAATTTTACGGTGAAAAGGATTTTACGGATGATGCACCCAAAGTGCTGGTACTTTATACCCAAATTTGATCTGGAATTTTTTTGCAGTGTGGAATTTGTCTGGTTCTGAGTGAATTAAACAATATTTAAAAAGTACCTTTCCCACATCACACAATTACATCCCCTCACATTTTTGGTAATTATAAATCCTTTCTAGAAAGCGAGAATTCTTATACGAATAAAAGTTTTGTACAAATTGTTTTTTATTTCCAATGCCCAACTGTGTTAACGTTTCGTCAATGCTGGCATTTACTGGGTAGATTTGTTGGAAACTTTTTCAGGGTCACCATATTAGGTGGGCCAAAGTTGCTCCCACAGTAAGGACAAACAGTACGGAGAATGAAAGGACACTTATACCTTGTCCGGGATTCAAACTCAGAACCTTTCCGATGTAAGACCAGCTCCCTGATCCCTAGACAGTTCGGAAGGCAGTCTTGTACAAATTTTTTTTTCTTTAGTTTGAAAATAAGAATAATTTTCTAAAGACAATTAATAAAGCACAAAAAATTTCTTTATTGCACATGAAAGTTCAAGAGATCAGAAACAAACATTTCATAAATTTTCTTCATGCTGTTTGGTAGTTATCTCAATTTATACTAAGAGAATATCATTATTTCTTCACTAGAAGAAAAAGAAAACAAATATTATTAAAAAAAATCAGTAAGTTTCATTTTGAACAAATTTTCAAAGCTAGACAATGTGTATAAAGCACAAAGATAGCTACAAAAGCAGAGATTGTATAGTTTTTGTGTAACAATGCCTCCATCTTGTTAAATTAGAACAAGAGAAGAAAAAGAAGGTGCTGAAAAAGGATAGCTCAAAAAGTTACAATAAAACTTTTCTTTGTTGCAATATGTTCGTAATTTTACCTCTACACATCTCTGTTTTCCATATCTTATTCTGTGTTTCAACACTGACTGAATATTATCAGCTTTTGGAGCTTTATTTGTGCATTATTTATACATAGCATAAAATGTACCCTCATTTAAAAAAGTTTCATTTTCATTTAAACATTTTCTAAATTTTATCCTCTTTATGTATTAAAAATTTTCAGTTACAATTAAGCAGTTATATCTTGTCATTTAACAAATAATAGCAATAATAATATAGTGAAACATTCAGTAAAGACCACCTCCGTGTAACAACCTCCTCTATTTTTAATCACTTTAGGGAGGAACGGAATTTTTTCCATAGACTTTGTGTTGAAGAAAACCTTTACAAGAGATCATTTAACCCTTTCCCTGTGACCGGGCAAACCTATGCACCAAATGTGAAAAAAGGCAAATAAGCAAAACGTGAAAAATATCAAAACAAAAAATATTAATAAGCAAATAAGTAGATTCAAATGAATCCAAAATATTTGTGAGAGGGTCTTATTTAAAGAGGTCTTTCTGACGATTTCTGAAAGTGATCGACAACCTCATGTTGCAGTCAGAGACCACTAAAGATGGTGGTATCCATGATTTATACTTAGAGTTGAAAGTTAAATTAGAAAGAAAAAGTTAACATCTAAAACTAAACATCTCAAACAAACCTCTTGTCATTTTTTAAAGCTAACTCATTTTTATGATATGGAAAACTTAATCAGTAAATATAATTGTTGATTTATTTAAAATTGTTCTATTATTCACAATTGGTAAACATCTGTTTTTACACATAATTATATCAGTAAAGGTAATTTTTATTGGCGCTAAATTTTATTCATCGATTCAGTTTTCATGATGTTAACACTAATGGCATTTCCGCACCAGGAAAATGACACTGGGTAAAATTAAAATTGCTTGCCAGAATTTATGTACCTTTGATAATACAATTTGAAGTCAATGAAGGTCACCCCTAAGAACGACCAACCTCCATTAACGACTATTTTACTGTGGAACAGAGAATGGTCACTCTCGAGAGGTTTCACTGTAATGAAACTCTTTATTTGCAATAGCTAATGATTCCAATGTTTTTCAAGTGAGCTGAAATAATGACTAATACATTTTCTTCTCTCTATTCAATCTCTCCCCTCAATAATCAGAATTAAAATGAAGAGTTTGTGTGTCTCATTTACAACCGGTGCTGAAGTGTGAAATTTTTTTAACCGGAGCTCAAATTTTTATACCGGAGAAAGGAGGGCGAAATCTAAAATTATTAAAGATAATTTTTGATCACCAAACATCAAATCATCTGACGTTAGCAAGGATTTTTTTTCCACCTAAATTTCCTTTGTTTTAAGTTATTGAAACCTATATTTTTTTTGCCCATTTACGGTAAAACAATTTTGAATATTTTTATTTATT